AGTTCATCTGAACATCTTTGTATTACGATTATTTTTATTTGCAGTAGATTTTTTTTATTCTTTTATTTTTATTTGTTTACGAGTTTTCTGTCAATCAGATAAAAAAAAAGGGCCATTGTAAATTTTGCTGATTCAAGGGAAAATTTTGTCTTCGTAGCTGTTTATTTCAAACTTCATGTTTTTTTTATTTTTTTATTTTTTTTGCAAAATGCAAACATCGAAAAAAACTCACTTTTTAAATTTTTTTATGAATATTTTTCGACAAGATTTTCGTTGGAGAACATTTTAAATAAAATTATTTTAAAGTTATTACTGAAGTTGGGCGAATAACAATGCAAGGTAAACAACTCTATCCTGATTCAGAATACGACCAGACAAGTTACTTCCCATGATTTTTGGCGCTCCGAATGTCAAACATTTAGCGTTTTTTTTTAGTATACGGTTTTTTGTCAATACATTTTTAAATCTAAAAAGGCTTAGCTTATGCTCTATAGAGGTTGTATTTTTTCTTTCTAAAAAGACCCTTATAGCGCTGAAGTGTGGAAAAAATATCGACTAAAACGTGGTTTACTAAGACTTCCATTAAGTTAGTGTTATTTTTTTCGGAAAGCTCAACCCTTTTTAAAAGATTTTTATCAATTTGTTAAACAATGTTCGCAAATAAAACAAAATTAATGTTTTATTTTCACTGGCATTTTAATTAAAGACAAATTAATTGCTCTTTTATATTCCTGCAATAAAAGTAAAAAACCAAACATTTAACAACAAATGACAATTTATTTTCTTTCGATCGACTTGTAGAAAAAAGAAAGAAAAGAACCCTAGGAAATAACACGTAACTCGTGATTATCATGATACACAACACAAGCCTTGGTTTTTTATTTCAAAGCTGTTTTAGGTGCACTGCTGTATTAAAAAAAATATATATATAATTTTCTTTTACTGACAATTTGGTTGGTTTTAGAATGACTAATTTTTTTTAGCGCTATATCAGAAAGAAAAAGTAAAGTTGCTTTAAAATAAAGAGAACTCTCACACAAAATAAACATTAAACATTTATGATTTTAAATTTTTAAGCTTTGATCATTGTCATAAACTTATTTCATTTATTAGGATTTTTTCTATGAACGCTACTTTCCCTTGTTAATAAAAAAATGGTTGTTTTTTTTTTATTCATTAGCATTTTTGTGGGTGAAAAAAAACAAAAAAAATAACAGGAAAAACAAACCTCTTTTTTGATTTGTTAATAAAATGAAAAAAAAATCATATGTATTATTTAAATTCATTAAAACTATCATTCTTAAAAAAAAGAAAAAAGAAAAGATAAATCACGACAGACGAAAAACTGAAAAAAATGAGAAGGGTTTAAAAAAAAAAAAAAATCTATCAGTATTCATCAAAATTTGCATTATCTCAAAACAATTTACTCTGTATTTTTCTCTATCAATTTTGTTTACTTTCAAACAAAAGCAATATACCGCTTGATAATCAGATTTCACAAGCACTCTAACTCTCTAAAAACTTACATTAGCTTCCAAAATAAACGTTTTTTTGTTTTTGTTTTTTTAGTAAAGACTCCAATTTAGAATTCAGTATCTCAGATTTCTTCTCAGTCACTAGTTTCCTAGTTTTACTACTAATTGTCTTTCAATATCAGTTGCAATATCAAATCTCCTTTTACTTTTTCTACTTCTACCAGCTTCGACAAAACTTCAATGAAATTTCATATTTATATCGCAACACGATGCATTTCTTTCTTCTGATTTAATGCGAAACTTATTATCGCAGGTGTGTATCATCACTGTACAAATGAAAACAGTTTTTATTGTAAATATTCAATTCTGCTTCGTATAAACAAAATAAAGTCATTCTGTAAAGTAAAAATAAAAAACAAACAAAATAAATAGAACGTAGACTGGATACGGTTTATAAAGCGATCCCGAATGTTTATTTTTTTTTTAAATAAAATTTATATTGAAATGACGAGTAACGTCGTTCTAGTCACAGAACACTAACAGTGAAAAACTGTAACTTAAACTAAAAAGTATCAACCACTTGTTAGTTAACCAAATGGAGTTCCTGCAATTCGAGGTTGAAAAATCAACCTCGATTTATGGCCTAGGAGAACTAGCAAAAAAATAATACAAACAAAATTTATCAAACTATCAAAGACGACATCTTATGCTCAGAGAGCAACAAGTCATATTTTAAAACTTTTTTTATCAGTGATTAGTAGAAATGAATCCATTCATCTCACACGGGTGTAATTCAAGTACTGGGTAGGATTTCTTTTTTCTTAAGTTTACCTTAGTGACGTGATCATTTGAATAAACATCCTGCCGAACATCCTGCCGAACATCGAATGCTAAAAACTAAAAACAGTTTAATTTAATTAATTTGACAAATCCTAAAATATGAGGTATTGTAAAAATACGAAGGGTCCTTAGTGAATCTTTCTTCATGCATTTGTAAAAATAAATAAATATAGACTGAAAGAGAAATTTTATTAAATTTGTTGTTGTATAAATGAAGTTTGCTCTAAAAAAAAATTATAGCAAAAATTTTATGCCAAAAAATACTGATTTACGTAAGATTTTTAATACAATATTTTCTTTTGAATATAAAAAAAAAAGAAGAAAATTAATGGGAAAACAATGTTAAAAATCTGTTACTAATAAAAAAAAAATGAATAGTCTTTTTTACGGTATGGTGAGGGTTTTTTTTATTTGCTTAACAAAGTAATTTTATGAATTTTAAAAATTTTTATACATTTATTTTTTTAGAAAATTTTTTTTTTTTTTTTTTTCAAAGCAACAAGTATTTTAAAAAGAAAACACTTTCTTTATTCAATAGTGGAATTGTAGAAAATCGAGATTTTTAAAAACTCCTTTCTCTTCTCCACAAACTTTTAAAATAAAAACAAGTTTTGTTACTTTTTTAGTTTTACAACTACTCGATCACTCGTTGCTTTTTCGTGTTTCTTTTTTAAACTGAGGACACTTTTTTTTTCTTTGAAAGAATAATGACAGCCCTTTCGCTTTTCCTTTTTGAAGCCAGTGATTATTCCCAATGAAATTATCATTTAAATTAATTAGAGAGATAGAAAGTGTATACTACGAAAATTTATAAATAATTTTTCTTGCATAAACCTAATTTAATTACGTCTACCGTGGTTAGTGATTCATAAGCAAGCAAAACAAAAAAAAAAGCATTCCATTCATTAAATTCCGTCAGTTTTAGTGATTATCAATCCAGTGATTTTAGATTAAAAATTCTCTTATTCATTGAATATTATTTTAAATTTTTAATTAAAGCGAGAACAACAGATAGTTTGGAATATATTTCAATCACTGTAACAATGTTATAAGGCGGGTAGAGTTACTCACTTGTTAATTTTTTTATTGTTCGTTCATTCGCGATAAGGTGGCACATGAAATGTGAAATTATTCTAATTCCAAACACCCACAAACAAACTTTGTTTATTAAATGTTTACTTGACTATAAGAAGGAGTATATCAATAACTTAGTAATGAAAGTACCACTGTTACTGATAGAAGTAAAAAGCTATAAAACTCAAAATCATGATTAACTTACTAATTTCGCATGAGATGACGATACAAATATAGCAAACACGATGGATGGAAGCATGCCCAATAGGGGGTTAAAACGTAAGTTTCGTAAAGAGTGTGGGCGAAAAGGCAGCAAAAATCAGATCCACTTAGCTAATTTCTATATAGAACGAGATCCATAGAGTTTGAAACCTGTTTCCTGAAAGTGTGTTAACAATAGATAACAACGATTTTGGTGACAACTCACCTTGTGGTGATGACAATCTGCGACGAGAAGCAGTAATCCGCATCGCCTGCTCTAACATTGGCACGCCTGCGTCACCGGAAGTGACCGCCTGCTACAAGCGCCGATTAGGTCAATTTTTTGTGTTTGCTTTATTGTACTTATGGGTGCTCAACAAAGCTATATTTTTTTTATTATTATATAACTGTACTTTTTACTGATATGAGATTATTTCATCTGAATTTGTTTGGAATTATATGATGATCAGCGTTATTAATTTGATGGCTTTTACCAATCTAGTTCTGCTTTTCCATCTGCAATGCAACAGTTGAAAAAAAAAAAAAAAGTATTTGCCCGGTTTTCACACTCGTGATACGATTTTTAATTATCATTATATCAAATATCAACCAAAATTTAATTTATAAGATAATTAAATTAATACAACAGCAACATTTATTATCGGGTTTTAAATATAAAAGGCTTTAATTCTTTTGTTTTTGATGTAGAAAAAAAATTTTTGTCGTGAAAAAACCCTCAAAAAAACATTTTTAGTCGTAAAATGTGTGTGAATGCGCCTGTTATAAACATCTCCGAATCAATGAAAATTATGAAGTAGCCACGAAAATACTGCTTATTTATTTACGTTATTTTTAAAAATATTGTAAATTTTCTTGGTGACTTTTTTTATAAGGTTTATGTTTGCGTGTATGTTAGAATAAAAATTGTGTCAATATAAGCTTCCGTAAAGCGTTTTAACCTAAACTGGCGGCAGCTATGGTCGTTTTACGTTTGCTAATATATCAATTGCCTTTACGCACAATATAAAATCGGAAATCTCCTCTATTTTAATAAAACTTTAACATATATATTATTCAATATTAAAATAGCTTTAAGCACTACTGCTGAGTAATTTTAAAAGTTAAATGAGTTATCGAGAGGAATGTTTCCTAGACAGGAAGTTACTGACTGCTAAATCACAAACATTAGATACGCAGCAAAAGTTATGTTTTTTTTTCGCCTCGCGCTTTTGCCAGAAAATAAAATTTCGAAAATACTGTGAAGTCAATATAGGTTTAATTTTTACTTGTATCGTAAATTAATTAATGTTTTAAAAGTTAGCCGTTTGCTTTGCTAAAAGATAAAATGACTTGTATTATCGTCGGAAGTGTTTTTCGGATTTAAGCAGCCATATTCTTAAAAAAGTAAAAATGGCTGCTCCCACGGAGGACAACGAGGAACTGGTGCAAGAGGATTACTACGCTTGGTTAAATGTTGACAGAAAGGTATAAATCATTATTCTTAACACTTGTCTTCAGAATATCTTATCTGGAAATCTAGCGGCTTTTGTTATTGTGTTCTTATTCCAATAATTGACAGGAATCAAGAGTTGCACTTGAACAGTTCATCGACTTTTAAACGTAAATGTGGGCGAATTTTGAGTTGCCGGTCAATCATGTAAATGCAAGATCGACTCAATTTAAAGGTGACAGAAATAATTCCCTTTAAATCTTTACTTCGACTGATATCTCAACCACTCATTAATTGTAAAAGAACTGTTATCTCAATTTCGGTAGATTTTATTTGCATAGAAAAAAATGACTTTACTTACAAGTTAGTTCAAATGACCCTCCTGACCTCGAATGTAGAAAAAGGCTGTACAAAAATGTCTCCTCAACAAATAATCTACCCTTATCTTTTATTCTCCTCTTAGTATTTATTTTTTATCTACAATGAAAAGATATTTTACTTTTTATCAACTTTGTGCAGACGTGATCATTAAAAAAAATAATTTATAGAATCGATTAAGTTGTTTCTTAGTTACGCTGCCATGTAGCAATGATTTGATGTTTTCTGTTAATGTTAAAACTAAAAGTACACATTCATTACATACATACATAGGAATTTTTTATGCATTTAATTTTATAGTCGTTGGTATTTTGGTAGTTCATTATTCACTAGACATTGTCTGTTAATGTATTAGTAAGGCTATATAGTACGCACATTTAAAATTGGAATTCTGTATTGCATTGTTCAATTATTGTTCACTTGTACCTCGTGTTTAGAGTGCGCAGCATATCAACAGCATTTTCTGATGTACACATTGTGGCAGTAACATGTTCTCCACTTCCAGATGTTTTTAATATCACGTTGATTGCATATAGTTTTTATGAGTTAGTGTTTTTTTTATGTACACAATTCACAGATTCAAATAACTTCGTTAAAAAAAATGAATGGCGACAATTCTTTTTTTCTTTCTTTTATCATTATCAAGGAGAAAGGGATTTTAAAATTTGGATGCACCGACTTTCACTTTCTTTGTATCTTATTTATTTTTTCATTCCTTAACGATACTTATTTCTCTTTTGGTCTGCTCTTTGAGGACTCACTATAAGTCGCTATATTGACTGATTGATTTTTAAGTTACTCATAAGTTGCCAGGTAAGCAAAGATATTTTTTATATAAAGTTTTATCTTAGTTTTTTTTTTCTAACCGTTTCTCGGCTCAAAATTGAAAAGTGAAAACAAAGAAAGAAAACCCTTTCTTTACAGTACACTAGTTTCTGAGTTTTACACTATTTTTCCGGATACTTCGTCGTGGTGTTTGGCTAACAAGTTTGCCTCGCTTGCTCAATTACGTCTGAGTGGCAAGTTCGATCCCCCTTGGGTGTTCCATACTTTCGGCCTTGTGCCATAACTTCGCTTAAATCACTATTGTCCCGGACACGATCCGGTACAATTGCATTATTGAACATTCAGTGTTTTGTTTTAATTTATTTTTCTACGTTATCAACTTTTAATTTCTTTTAAGGACATAACCTATTTATTTTTTGCTGTAAGAATTTTTTTTAGTTATACTTATTTTACGTCTCTTTTTTTTTTTTCACTGTTGAGTGTACACTGTAGCGTAACTCTTAGTCTTAATTAATACGTGTTAAATTATCATTGTATTGTTTTTGCTGGTTAAATTATTAAACCAACACAAACGATCTTTGATTCTTAATAATACTTTTTAACTTTTTTTAATCACGCCATGAATTCTTTTTTCTTTTATCTTTATGAATGACCATCATCCTGCTATATGTGGCGCACATGGTCTTTTTAAAACGTGGAACTTCACGCGTGTGAGCAAAAACGAAAAATGCCTCGATCCACTGGTATAAATGCAGCAGACATCAGGGAATAATTCTAACCACCATCTTTTATTGCAACGGGGAGGTACAGTTGTGGAAATAACGGATTTCCATGATGAACTAACGGAACCGTATTTCATATACTGCTCTTACGAATGACGCAAGACCTGGCAAAAATGCCGGTGAAGTTATGTATATTCACTCCACAGTGATGGTTGAATCAGTGTTTATTTCATCATTACCTTAGGCATCGTTTGAAATTTATTTGACCTATGATTAAAGATGAGATAAAAATGAAGGCAGGAATGTTTTGCAAGAATAATCTGATGATTGTTTGTACGCATTGTCTAAAAACAAAACAAAAAATTAAAAAGCCGAAGGAAATTTTTTTTTTAATATCATCTGATCATGACTTTTTTTTCTTTGCAACAGTGCCTCAAACAAAATTATTACGCTTTCTACAAGTATTGTAATTAAATTAGTCCCTTGGATGACCAAAGATACTACCAGGAACTGAATAGCGTTGCCACCTACCTTATTAATTTTTTTTCCATTAGAATTTTTCTTGATATATTTTCTTGTTAATAATATTATCAAAATTAATCTCTTCCTCATCATTGTCATTTTTTTTTTTTTTTTTTTTGTGTACACATTTTTTTAGCAATGAGAAAATATCCGTTGCTTTGAAAACTGAAGGATTTTGGCTCGCTTACAAAGAATCCCTGAAAACCTGACGAATGAAATAGGAAGATAAAGCAATTTCATTGATAAAATTTTATAATGAAAAAAATAGTTTCTGTGGTTGCTACTGAGTTTACAAACAACTTAAAATAGGCACATATTTTGGACGCTTTTTTTTTTTATAAAGTTTACCCAATACAAGGCCCAAGCCAAGAGCTACTCAAGGTACAGGGTACTGGCTGAGACATGTGATATGAATGTAACAGGAAGGAATAGAAAATGAAGACTGTGGATATGGTGAATGACCCTAGACTTGAAGAGATTAAAATTGTCATATTCTACTAGTTTTTTTTTTTGTGTGTGTGTGGGGGGGAGGGGGCAGATTCATTGATTTATATTCATTAGTCTTCTACAGTCTTCTTATCAACCCTTTTACAGGCTATTTAAAGCCATAAGATTGTAAGAATTCAGTAGAAGGATAATGATGTAGTCATTAATCAAGTAAGACTTGTATCACTAAATTTTACTGATACATAGTTGTGGGGCAGGGTGAATTCATACCTTTCCCAAAGGTATTTGTGCATAAGTAAATATAACAAATCCAAGCCATTATCCATTATATCACCAGCACATGCATGCTTACAGCACCTAGTATTTTCATGCAGTCACCCATCTAAGTACTGACCAGGCTCGGTATTGCTTAACTTCGGTGATTGTAACAGAACTAGTGCTTCAACATGATGTGCCCATAAGCCCTTTTTCAGGTCATTTAAAGTAATTAATGTTTGTTTTGAATTCCTACAGATTTAGTGTTTTGATATATAGTTTAAAATTGATTCCATTAAATAGATAATTATATAAAATACATCACGGTGAGGATATACCGGATGACCTAAGCAGATCTATTTTAATAGAACTGCCTAAGAAACCAGACACAAACGAATGTGAACTCCACCAGACAATCAGCATAATGAGACACAATAAAACTCATCATCCAAATTCTGATAACTAGAGCATACATCAGAATCATGCTAAAGATAGGACAAAAACAGTGCGGGTTTGTCACCAGAACAAAGAATGTAATATTTATGCTCAGAATGTTATCAGAAAGAGCAATACAAATGCAGAAGGACATGTACCTATATTTTATAGACTATGCAAAGTACATCACAAAGATCTGTTAGTGCAGCTCAGCAACTTTGACATATTCAGGATAGATGTTAGAATGATCAAGTATCTATACTGGCAGCAATGCACCTGCATACGGACAGAAAATGAGTTCATCAGATATATTGGTATGCTATAATAATAATAAAACAATCATCCAGTATAATTGCTTGGTATTCATATCCAAGTATGCCTGTCTACTAGGGTGGCTAGCCAATCTTTGTTGCAGATGCCTTATCAGGCACATTTGTGTCTATTCAACACCTACAGAGCTCACCTGTGGTTCATACTGTAACTATGCTGAGCAGACCTTTGTTACAGTTTCTGGGAGAGAGCACATCATCTGGTGTGATCAACAATCTGAATAAATCCAGTACACTCAAACCCACAGTCACAATGACTTGCAACTTCATGCTAGCAACAATCAATAGCTTCCAAATATTTCTGTCTACACAATTTCATTCACAAGGCTTGGGTCAATCCATGCTATGGTTTTCAGGCACTTTCCAAAGGTACTGTACTCTTGGATCCCCTCTCCAGGCCGATAGCATCAAGAAGTCGCCTTCCTAACAAATTGATCATGGTGAAATTTTAACCCAGGCCACATGGTTGGAAAGAGACTGTTCTAATCACTCGACCACATGTCCAACAGCCAGTGACATGAATAAAAGAAGCTGTAAAGAGATTTAAAAATGCAATTAAATAAAACAGCTATTGATTTTATAGTGATTTACTTGCTGATCTTGTGAGCTTTTCACAGTGCTTTTTCATCTGGATAATAAAATTTGGTTTGGTATATAAAATATTCAGTGCCTGTATATATTTCATTGAGGTGAAACAAAGAGTGTTAATCAAACATTAAATAAAAATATACTGTTAAAAATTAGGCAGATTAAAAACTAGTTTCTGGAACTTTATCAACAAAGAAACTTTCATTGTATAATTTCTTTCTGGAAAAATAAAACTGCTTAAAGGCTATGGAGTGTCTGAAAAGATTAAGCTGATGTGCAATTCTGTTCGGTTTAAGCTGAAAGTATAGGCAAATTGGATGAGAACAAGTAATTTAAACCTTTTGATACCTGGTGAATTCAAATTTTTGATTAGCTTCTTTTTTTTTTTGTTGGGTGGTGTTTAAATTCTTTTAAAAATCATTGCACAACTGTCTCAAAGACTGGTTCTGAAATATAGTTAAAAGGTAGAGAAAGTGTATTAGTCATCACTGGATGAATATGAATATGAATAGCATGTTACTTTATTTTATTCAAGATCTGATTTTAAAATTTAAATAAGGTTACTACTGTTTCTAAATTTCTGGCTTTGAGAGCCAGTATTGCATCAGTCAGTTAGGTGCCATGTGGGATACACACTTAGGTGATCATGCCATTTCTTTCTGCGGTAGACCAGTTGCCATCCAAGGCTATAGAACCCAGTCTGTCCTACTATTAACCCATAGCTGGGAAGAGAAGAAGAGGATTCATACCTTTCCCAGGGGTATTAGCACGTAAGTGAATGTAATGGATTCACCTGATTCCTCAATCTGTGCTGTTATCCATTATTCCACCGTTGACTAAATTTGGATCTAGAAACAATAAACAACATTGATATTCATGATCATTATTAAGGCCAATGAACTTTCTTGGGAATCTGACTAGGTTTTTATTGGATGGTAATATTTATATAGATTCATTATGTTTTGGTCAGTTATCCAAAACACAAACCATGCTAGTCAAAATGCAGGGAATTTAGGGATTACTGATATTGTCAGAATTCAATATCACTGCTTTGTTTTGTATAATCTTTGAATTAACATAATTTTGGAACAGATCTTATTCTGAAAATTATATAAAATGATAATGAGATTGCGGACAGTTCTATTAGGAAGAGTATTATTTTTACCTGTTTATTGTTTAAAATAAAATTTAGTGGCTCAAAAATAAAATGAGATCCCCACTTCAGAATGAGATGCCATTGAGAAATTCATCTATAGTTAGATTTTTTTGATATTGCAACACAGGAAAAAATTAATGAAGATGGGGAAAGTGGTTGAGCTTATTGGTCATTCTTGTTTATCAAGGTTAAAACTATGAAATAAGAGACTCTTGTTGATATTGGTCATTTATGCAGATTTTTAAATTTATTTCCATTTACATAGTGCTTATATAGAAACAAAAAACATTTGACTAATATCAATAAAACAAAAAAAAGAAACCTCAAAGATAATCTTTTTGATGTTTCTACTTTATATTAAGTATAACAAGAAGACAGTATGCATAGTTATCAGCAAAAGGGTGAGCCTGAAATGCAAATTACAGGTCAGGGATACTAAAATCAAGCAGGTACAGAAATTTAAATATCTGGGACATGTTCTAACAGAGAACAGAAAGTGCAACACTGAGATCTGAAGACATATTGGGATGGCCAAAGATGCATTCCAAAAACTAAGCAGAGTATTAAGAGACAGAAAAATTTTGTTAGAGACAAAGAAAAGAGTACTAAACTGTTACATGATATCCCGTATGGCAGCAAATGCTTGACAATCTCCTCAAAGATAAAGAAGAGACTTGAAGTAACAGAAGTGTGGTTCTATAGAAAGACGCTGTGGATATCATGGACTGAACATGTGAGCAACAACAAGGTTTTAGAGAGAATGGAAACAAAGAGGAACATTATACATCAGGAAGAGGCAGTTGAAATTTCTGGGACGCATAATAAAGAAGGAGGGCTTGGAAAAAATATGATACTCACAGGACAGAGGGACAGGAAAGCAGCACATAACATACTTGATATATAACATGGGCTTGAGAAAATGGATGGCAGAATAGGGTTTAGAAGAAATAACAAAAAGACAAAACTTATTAAGAGCTACAAGGGAGAAAAGGTAGTGGAGGGCCATGATCGCCAACGTCCTGAAGGAGCACAGCACATAAAAGAAGAAATATTAGATATAACTTTTCTTTATGGTAATATTTTGTACTTCTGTTTGAGATGATAATTATTTGAACTTTATGAAATGAAATTTACAATATCTTTTTTTCTTTTGTTTATACAATATAAAGAAGAAAAAACCTCAAATTCTGATCTGAAGTCAGATTTTTAATGTATTGTCCAAACAAATATTCAATCAAATTGTTTTCTTATCATGAATTTGATTACAAATTTTGTTGAGCAAACACCCCTTATTAGGTGGTACTTAATTGCCTTTATTTATAGCAGAAAAATGAGTTTGTTGCATTAACTTTCACACAAATACTCTTGGGAAAGTTATAAATCTATCTCTTCTCCTTCTAGCTATGAGCTTAAATAGCAAGACAGACTGTGTTTTCTTGCTTTGGTTGGAAACCAATCTAGGAGAACAACAACTCTGAATTCAAAACCATTTGTAAAGAAGCTGGGAACTCCATCTTGTAAAACCTACTAGCTATGGAAAACACAGCAGCCACACCTAGTGTGGTGAAACTGTGGCACTACACGCCACAGGGTAGTAGCTAAGGAAGGGGGTTTGGGAATGGGATAGGTCATTTTTCAGAGCACACTGAACATCTCCCCTAAATCTATCAGTTATCTCCATCACTATTCATTTCAGCAACAGGATGACAGATTACTTTTAATGTTCCTAAAAACTTTGTAAGTGATACTAAAATTCAAAAAGGCTTTGACTTTTCAATTTGCATGATGATAATCTGCTTCTGTGTCAAGAATAGAACTGAAGTGTCTTTATCATTTTTTAAGCTATTTATTTTTATCCATTTATTTAGAATTTAATATTCATTATTTATATCTTTCAGCTGCTGTTAAAAATCATTTGAGAAATTTAGATAAAGTAATGAAATTGAATTATTTCACTTGGGGTTGATTTATTACTGAGAATATATAGAGTGTCCCAGAAGTCATGCACCAACCTTGTCATAGATCACCACTGAAACCCTCCGGAGAGTGTAAGACAGTTTGATGAAGAGAATTGATGCTTGTTTTATTGCAAGGGGGGTACAATTTGAGCATCTATTATGATTATGATCAATAAAGTCATTTTTTTTTTTTTTTTTTTTTTATGAAAATCTGGATGGTGCATGGCTTCTGGGACACCCTGTATAGAGATATGTTATTTGCCTGTAAATTTGGCTCTTACTGCTGGCTGTTGCATTTTTTGTTTTATGAAGAGATACAAATGCACAACATTGAAGCAATCATATATTGTTACTGGTATTAATTATGGTGATCATTGCTTATGATGGAAAACTTAAGTTTAATTTTTTAACCTTATTGTCTGGTTGGATGATTAAAACTATTAACTAACTGAAGTTTAATGTCATGTTCAAGATTATTATTTTATCATTAAGAAGGAACACTGATGCAAAGTTTGATTTCATACCTATAATGATAAAAATTGTACAATGTATATTGTCCACTTGATATAAAATAAACCCATAATCTTCTCAGCTTGGCCAATAAACCACATAGCCTTTATAAATAAGCATTGTTTAGTTTAGGTAATTTTGATAAGAAATTGACAAAAACTTTTTTTTTTTTTTTTTTTAAATCAATTTCACTCCAAGCAAGGCAGTAAAACCACTAAGGCACAAGGAGTTACTGGGTGTGGAAGAATTAGAAAATGGAATCTTTACTAAGGATCAAGAATAAAAGGTGTACAGTAAATAGTGATTGACATTGCATTTAAATTTTTGAACATTAAAGTTGGCTGGAAAGCATGGAGCCAGAAGAGAGTTCCACAAGTGAGAAGTGTGAGAAAAGAAACTCTTAGCATAGAAATTACAGCTACATCTATTTATGTTTTTAATGATTTGTTACCTTTCTTTTTTTTTTTTTTTTTTTTTAGCTGATAAACTTGCTTTTCTAACTAGAAGACCTACTAGGAATGTTTATTGGTTCACAGGTTTGTGGTCATATCATATTGAAACACTGGTTCTCGCACAATTACCAGAGTTAAGCAATGTTGCATCTGGTCAGTACCTAGATGGGTAACAGCTTGGAAATGCCAGGTGCTGTAAGTGCGGATGTGCAGATGGAGTAATGAACAACAATTCTGAATTGGAAATTGGAGAGCCAAGTTCCAATTTTTGTTGGGGTTTGTTATATTCATGGTTGTAATGGTAAAGTGAGACTAGATTGTTAACCATTACTCCATGATGCAGTATGTACAGTTATTCAAAGATTGAACTAATAGCAATTTCGTGTTTGAGTCACACCTGCTAACCGTCAAGCTACAGGAGACTTGACTTTTTAATACAATTTACATTGGTTATTGCTCTAAGAAAAGTAAGTTTTATGAAGTCTGTGTACCTTTTTAATTAAATTTTTTTAAAATGTCAACCAGATTTTTTGGTTAATTTGTACACTCATATCAATATTTTTGATATTTTTCCTTTTAAGCAGTTTTGATTCTAATGCAAGAAATTAGTAAATGAACTATTCCACATTTGAGCAATATGAAATCTTTATTTTTATATCCTATTTTGTGAAATTTTGACAAAAAATATGTATTCATTTTATGTCTAAGTAAATCAAGTATTTTTTTTTTTTTTTTTTTTTTAGTAGGTTTCCTAATTAAAAGGACTTTCGCCTATTAATATTTTAGGGATAAGCATGTTTATAAATTGTTAAAACTAATGTTTATATTTTTAAGCAATGAATTTAATTTTGTTAATGCTAAATAATATTTTAGTTACTTAGATAATTAGTAATTTTACTCTATTAGGTATCCCTTGTAATAGAACATCAGGAATATAATTAGGTTATAATAAAATTTGTACTTCATATGAATAAAAGTGCATTCACTTTGCATCAATGTTTTACTCCCAACCCCATCTTATTGGTAAATTACTTGACTGAACTGAGCTTTCTTGTCTGCATTGGGTAACAAGTTCAGAAGGCCAACTCTAAATGAAAAACTAAGGGGAATTACAGTGAAAAGGTATTCTGTTACTATTCCTATGAACAATATACAGTATTTCCTTGACTATCTTGACACTTTGGAACAGGGGTTGAAAAAATATGTTCAGATAATTCAACATTCTGGATAATAGAATACCTAATTTATCAAAAAAGAATGAAAAAAGATTTTTTCTGAAAGAAATTTAACATTTATGTCATAGATGACATTTTCAAATGTTTTGTTCAGTTTGTTTTTAATGAGAAAAAATGTGTTGAATTTTGTATCCAGCTGGTTTTGCACTTTTCAGTTGTTAACTCCTGAAACTATTTTCTGGTTGAAAATGCAACTAACTTGAACATTTATCAAACATAATCATTACTTTGGTGTTTGAAATTGTGCATTGGCACAGTTAAAATTGAACATGTGCAATATCATTGCCCTCCTCTTCAACATTTTGCAGTGCAGTTATAAGTTCAGCAATAATCTGATCACTCATTCATAATACCCAGAGCTGTCTATATTGAATCACTCATTTATTTCTACTTCATTTACATCAATGTTTAATGCTTCAAATTGCTCAATAAAAGTATGGTTTTCTATTTTCCCAAAATGGTAGTCTGAGATAAAATATTGGAATGGATTTAGTTGGGATAATTGAAAAATGTTCAGATAATTTTAATTTTTCTTTTTAATTTACATCTGGATAATTGAAGTTTGAAAAATTTAAATATTGTATTTGCAATTTATAGCTAATAAAAAAAAAATGGTAGATGGAGAGCCATTATCACCTATGAGTTGAGGCTTTTTTTTTTTTCTTTCTTTAAGCAAGGTTTGTAAGGCTCAAGTATTCCACTGACATTGAAGAAGCCATGAGACACCCCGACACCTCCCACCTTTCTCCTTCACTTGTTGTTTGGCTCTGTGATAGAACAATAAGCTAACAACTAATTTTTAAGTACTTGGTTGATGAAGATTACTGAGAAAAACTCCTGACAAAATGGAAAACTTATTTTAAACTCAACCCTTTTCTTGTAGCCAATGGTTTTATAAAACTTGCAAAATTTATACAGTATGACTATCTATTTATTTACTCATACAGTATGAATATCGGTTTAATAAGTTGGTACAGAATCTATGTCACTGATTCAAGTGTGAACCTTGCAATGAACATCAAAGTTTATAGAGGATCCAACTTTTTTTTTTTTTTTTTTTTTTTTTTGTCAATTTACAAAATGATGTAAGAATGTAATTTAACATGTTCGGACAATTTATTATCTTTTTTATGAACCAAATAATGACTGCAATTGATTTAACCAGCAAGAGGCATGTAAAGGTAGCAGACTAATCATTTGGGGGAAAAAAGGGACCATTAACAGACATAATAATGTCCTTTCCTCTGGTCATCAAAGCTTTTTTTTTTTTTGTTTTTCATTTATTGGGACCAAATCAAATGGAAGTCAAAGTTTTATTACATAGGCATTAGTATGCCAAAAATAACCAGTTAGATCCAGATGTTTAGCTAAAATTAGTTCTATATTGGATATTTCAGTTAGCATATTTTTATAACAATAGGATAAGAAATTATCCACATATGGACCAATTATATTTTGTTGGTTCAACATCAATTTTATGAACACAAGTCCTATGATCAAAAATATCCCACCTCATTGATAAGGAATCATGGTGTTTGGGCAACATTAGTGTCCTAGAAACTCCCCATAGAGGAGAACATGACTAAAGACTGTGTACGCTATCCTGTGCAGCTGCAGAAAGAAATATAAAGGGGAGACAGGCAGCTCCCTTAAGGTAAGGCTTCAAGAACACCAGAAAGCTTTAACACAAGGGGAAGTGGAAAAATCGGGCATGGCTGACCACATATGGAGAGAAATGGAGATCACCACCCTCTGTGGGATCAGGTTGAGATCATAGACAAAGAACACCATTGGAAAATTCGTAAACTTAAGGAATCAGTACATATGCTAGGCCACAAAAATCTCCTGAGCTGACCAAGCATAGAAATGAATACAATATGGGAACCAGTAATAAGGTGTGCCAGAGAAAAGTGCTAACAACAAAAATTGCAATATGAGCACTGGTAAAAAAAATGTTGCTGAAGACATTAGGTTTATAATACACAGATGTCCTCAAGGACACATGGCACAGTGGATAAAGGCGTTGGTTAGATCCAGTGACAGGACCCAATGAGTGTGAGTTCAATAACTTGGAGAGGGGAATTAACAGGAGATAACTGATAGCTGACATTAAACATAGCACGTGGAACTAGAACAGTCAACCCAAGTGAGTGAAATAAAGGGTTCAGTTCGACATTCCAACCACCTGAAGAAGACTGGAGTGTACAACAGCTGAAACGTAATAAATATAGCGACAAAGATGAGGCCAATAGTCCAAATAATGACCAATCATTGGTATATGAATATTAATATTTCCTTTTTCAATTTTAAAGGAATCTCATTGGTCAGCATCTGAAGATTTACTTTTTTTTACATCTTGTAAATTCTAAGTAACTTTATAAAAGAAAACTGAAACGATCTGCTTTTATCTGAAATGATAGTATTGAAGAAGATTAGCAGAATTTAATTAAGTCAGATTTGAAGATGAAAAAATTAAATAGCAAACCAGAATTGATATGACTCAAACAATTGTCATTAGTTTTAAGTCTCCCACTCATGAATTTACTATCAGCGTAGAAATCAAATAAAAAGAAAATCTTTTATTTAAATAAATAAAATTACAGGGAGGTAATTCTAATTTGGAGTTACTTCCCTTCCATTCGGTGTTTAAAATCTAGCAGACAGCATGAAATTTAAGAACTGTATCTTAAGCGTATAAATATATGTCCGTGTAACACACACACTTTAAGAATTATAAAATTAAATGTAGAATGACTCGTGATTCTAGATTAATATTGAATGTTTAATTTATCGAAATTTTTTATAGTTTAGAATAATGATATATATTAAAAATTGGCTTCAGATTAAGTCTTTAATAACTATATGCTTATTAACACTGAGTCACAAAGATATCATGAATTTTCAGCAACAGTAATCTCTCTCATTTCTCATTTATGATATTCCTCTTCTTTAAAAATACCCAGAATTCTGGATTATTCAATCTAGTTGGTCTTGTGATTTATAGTGTTGTTTTTTTTTTGTTTTTTTTAACCTGAAATTGTTTTACATTAGAATAATTATACATTAATCCTTGATGTGTGTTTTATTATTGATATATTCGAAAGATATGTATGATGTTCATTTCGGTTTTTTTTAATCATTACTATAGCCCTACTATTTCAATATAGTCTAGAGGGGCAAACTGGATTTACTTTAAAATAGACATATATATGATTTAATACATAATTTACTTTTTTTCCTTTTTAGGCCACTATTGATGAGATTAACAATGCATTCAGGCGACTTAGCAAGATTTATCATCCAGACAAGCACCATGGTGAACCAAATAAAAAGGAAGCTGAAATAATGTTCTCTAAAATCAAAAAGGCTCATGAAGGTAAGACCTGTACGATATTTCCTTTCCAAAATGTTAAACGGGAAGATCTCCTTTATCATTTTATGTTTTTATTATTAGTTGAAACCTCATTGGTGTTTCAAGTCTCTTCATCGTTGAGGAGATTGTCCAGCATTCGCTGACATACAGGAGGACAGATATGACGTAAGAGTTCAGTACTCTTTTGTTTCTAATGAAATTTTTTATACTTGCTTTAAATTGAGGAATACTTCAGCATTCAATAAATGGCATGAAATTCAATATTCAAACCATTTATATCTTATTTTTTAATAGAATATATTTTAGACTTTTTAACAAAAATGTTATCACCTAATCAATAAATATATATATATATGTGTGTGTGTTTATATTTTATTTTTTCTTTAATGGAAAAACTTAATCTAAACATGTAGGTGCCTTTTGGTTAAAATAAAGATATACTCTGCCACTTTGAATTTTTCAGATAAACAATTATTGTTCTATACAGATCTACAGAATTTAATATCCTTGTTATAGTTCTTATCACATTTCAGCTGTTGTACTATTATGGTTTTTCAAGTGTCTGTCATAGTGATAACGTTACAAGAATTTTGAACCATATCTATGGGGTAGATTTATCTCCCATCCTTCAGTCCATTTTCATATCTCTTTCAATGAACCAGACTATATACAACTTTTTTTCCCTCCATAGCTCGGAGATTAAACTTACAACTGCCAGGTAACTAGATCTGTTTAACCAATGTTTTTATTCATTAGGCAAGTGTATCCAGTAGGACAGTTCAGTTGGGGGAACTTTAAGTTTTAAATCTAATGTTGCTTATCTGTTTTTTCAACTGAGCCAGAGTATGACTTTACCTTACCTATTGTGTAAGTAGATGGTCAAAATTTTTTAGTATTAAGCCTAATGTTCTTTCTTAATTAGTGGTTCTTGTGTGTTCATTTCTATGCTAGGCCTACTGAGGAGGTTATTAGGGCCTAGCACATGCACTGATAATTGTCTCTGCCCAAGCTATGGCATCTGTCTAACCAGCCTTAATTTTAGTGGGTGGTTGCTTTTTCCTTTATATTTCCTGCTATAACAAATTTTGTTCATGTTTTCTTCTGGAGAGGCCTAATTTAGGATAGGTGACAGCAAAAGGTAGAACTGCTTTTGAATACGGTCCTGATGTTGTGTGGATTAACAATGCTTCAAGGATCAGTTGAAAACATCCATGATATGGGCCAACATCTACCCTGAGACCTGGGAAACTGTTGCTGCATATCAGCTTTCCTGGTATAGGACCAGCTGAGGGGGACCAAGACTTTCGAGTTCAACCACCAACATGAAGAGGATCTGCCGATTATGCTATGTGTTGGATCACATGAATTTTTAAAACTTTTTGACAAGTAGACATATCGTATCTGTTTTCAAACTATTGTCTTCAACCTTTATATCCTTGCTCATGGAAGCTGGTGTTATGCTTGTGGGATAGTTGTTGCTCTGGAAGATGTTCCTAATGCTGATCATTTTCTGTTGGGGTGTGTCTTAGTTACAACTTGTGAATTTTACCTGATGCTGTGGGCAGTAGAAAATCTTTTTACTTCATGCTTTATGGATGGTGGGAATCAAAGTTGATGTATTGCCCACTAAAATTAGCTTAAATGTCTTTAATCCATATTCTGTACAGTTTATTAGCACATTCAGGATGGCCAGTTTATCTTCAATTCCATTGTGAACTGTATTGAAAAAAGAAAGAACATTATTCTTATATTATTCCACCACCTCATTAAAACATCATATACTCTGGTTCAGTGGAATAAGCACAAAGCAACATTAAGGATTCAAGTTTCCACTACCAAATTGTCCAACAGGACTCCTGCTTAAAAGTTGATCTAGTTATCTGGCAGTTATGAGTTCAACTTCTTGCTTGGGTGGTGTAAAAAGTCAATTTGATCCAGTGTGAGACACCAGTAACATCCATGAAAAGAACCTACTCTTGTTGAAAGGTTAAGTTGTGAAAACAAAATCAATCAATACCCTTGTTAATTGAATAAAGAGTTCATTTAGAAATTCCCAGAAGGTTACCAAATATGACATACACGTAAAGGTCAGAAGGTACAATAGTCAAAACGGTTTTAAATTATACATATGTGGCTTGTGACAGTGAATGTTTACCTATAAGCTAAATGATTAAGTTGATTGAATGAAAAATATTTCATGATTTTATAGGATTTTGTGGTGTTAACATTGTATAAATTATCCAATAGCAAAGTTGTCTCTCTTAAAAATACAGGATTAAGAAAAACATTTTGAAATATTATTTCACATTTTCACTGTTGGGGATGTACTCATGTCTTTACAAAACTTACCTTGCCTACTGTCAATGTTTGTATTTGTTTTCAGTAAATATCAGACCTAAGCATTTAAAACAAAAACAGTATTTAAAGCAATGTTTGGCAAACTTCAATGAGTTCAGGCATGCCAAATAAATTAAAAAAACACAAACAAACCAAGTAAGTTTCTGGTAAGGTGACACTGATGTCTATTTCATGCCACCCACACATACCATCACCCAATGAAAAAGGAAAGAATAAGTGTAAGAAAGGAAGATCTAGTAGAAAGTATTTGAAAGAATAACATCAAATGATTAATACAGTGTTTATTATTTAAAATTACAAAAATTATTGGCTTCCCTATCCTACCAATGCATACAGGGAAATTTATTTTGTCTGAAGACATATTTTTGATCCCTGTTAAATGTTGTTTGAACAGTGAACTGAATGTTAAATACAAATGTCTCCACTTGTAAGTTAACATTTTGCACTCATATGTATGTTAGCAAAAATACAATGTTTAAAAAAAAAAATTCCTATGTACTAATTACCATCAGTATCTAGTTCATTTCACAAATGATTCATGTTTGGTTACAGAAAGAATATATTATTTATTTATTTTTTATTTTTTCATCCAACACAGGGCAATAAAGCCATTAGGACTCAAGGACTTACTGTGTGTTGGAGAATATGAGAAAAACTACTACTAAGGAGAGAGAACAATAAAAGAACAATAATTAAGAAGATAAAAGATAATGATTAGCATTGTATTTAAATTTTTGAAGATCAAAGTTATATTTTAAATTAAAATGATGCTATCATTTACTTTGTATCAACCAACAAGAAATTCCTTTTATTATATCATAACTGTTATGATGAGTTAGTTTTGTGCAGTGTATCACTTTTCATGGGAAACTTTTGTTGCATCCCTGAGACACATAGATGGGAAAATTATACTGCCTCTTTTAAGATTTTTGTGTGTCAAGGACACAGGATGTGTACCTATCAGCATCTCTGCAAATGCATATTAGTTCAGTGTAAATATTTGTGTGCCTGACTTTGTATAGTTGTAATCATTGGTGTTATGTGTAAGGCTGTTTCATTCAATTGATCAAAGCTCCATTGTTTTGAACTGAATTATTTGGTCAGGACCAAAATTATTTAATGCAGGTAAATAATAATGAATTCTTACTTTTTGGTCATGACATCACAAAAATCACCTTAATTTAAACTATTGTGTTTGTTTTTATTTGTATAATTTCTATGCAACAAAGATTTGTGTAAACAGCTCATCACAGTACTTATTAATGGTAAATATCAATACTCTAATGTCAATAGTATGGAAACCCTATTTTATAATTCAAACTGAGAGATATAAAATAATTAAAATGTTTGAGGCTTTTGATTCAGTTTCATGATTTCTTTTTTTTTGTCTGAGTGATATTTATTAAATTTCTATTTTAATGTTTTTCAGTTAAAGTATTTAACGACTGTATTTTGTTTCATTTAAACTTATTTCCTTATCTTTATTGGACCAGCCACTGCAGCCTCTAAAAACCAAGCATAAATAAAAATCAATAGACTATAGAAAGTGCCAAGTCAAAAATGTAAGACGAACCATAATTTCAAGTTCAAAAAGCCAGAATTAAAAAAAAAATTGGGAGTGTTCAGAAAATTTGTTGGGTCTACTGAAAGATCACAAGTTCAATTTATAAATTAAGAGAAAATAAGTCAAGGGGAGGACACAGTTACTGGATGTAATGTGTATAGGATGGGGATAACACGTCCCTTCAGAAGAAACTACAGTCCCAAAAGATTGGGATTTAAAAATATGCATTTATTTTTTTAAGCAGTTAATGGATTTTTAAATCCAGTATTATTTCATGAGGTTCATTGTCTTTATGACATCTAATCTTGAAGTTGGTAGATATTTGCTGTTTAAAAAATAAATTTTGTTTTTTTTTTTTAAATATGGATGTTTACTCAAAAACATGTACCCACTAAATATAATGTTTGTAGTAATTTATATATATTTAAGTAACTACAAACATAATATATACTAGCCTAGAATCTGCCCTTTGGGTGGACTTTAGGCTAGCTCCTGCAGAATGCTTTTGGGCCTTCAGCCTTCAACATCTTATGTACATAAAAGTTATAAGAATTTATAAATAATAAAATTATTCTATCTTTATTCAACACCTTAATTCGGCATAATCTTTCTTTATATATGCAACCTCTCTCTGTAGTTTGTTTACATTTATTTTGTGTACAATTTTTATTTTCTTTTAAAATCACCATTCCTTATGATCACTTCACATAAAGTCACTCTTAAAAGACAATAGGGAATCCGAACTATGTAATATTTTGAATATGTCACAGTATGTGTGCTAGAAAAAGAAAAAAAAACATGAGGAATGTACCATGCCCTGCTTAAATTTTAACTACAGTTTAATTAGATGATATCAGTTGCAATTGCAATGAAAAGCAAAATTAAAGTTAAGCATTTAATAATTGATTTTTTTTTTTTTTTTAAACCTTTCATTGTGTTCATTATGTTTGAAATTTAAAATTAAATGAGTTATTTAATTTTAAATTGAGTGTTACTTCAGATTTGTTGAGATCGAAAAACTGATGAACAGATGGACACACATACACTCTGCTTTATTTATATAGAAGAAGATATTGGCATCCATTAGAGGACAAAGAAATTGGTCTAAATTAAACAAAGTACAATGATATTTATAGTATGAACATTTATTATGTGAACTGATCTTTTATTTTTCTCTCTTTTCTAATAGTTTTATCTGATAAACATACCAGAACAATCTATGATATTTATGGTGAAAAAGGTTTGGAGTGTGGAATGGAGGTAAGTGTTAATACTTCATTTTGACATTGTCTTCCATCTTATGTTAGTTATTTTTTAATTTATTCTTTCAATATTTTCATTTGAAATAATTATTTATTTCCATTTAGAATACTATCACTAATGCAATTTCTGCTGTACATAAAACTAAAGACGTACAATTATTATGAGTGGTAAGAATTAATTTCAGTTTAATTTAATCAACTTTCTTGTAAAGAAGGTTTAAAGCATTACATGTGTGAAATTTAAAAAAAAAACAAAACATAAGTATAAAAATAAATATAATGTAAAAACTGAATGAATATTACCTTTTTATGAAATTAAACCTTGCTGGTATCTGTTTTGCTTTTTGCTAAAAGCAATCAAAACTTATTTAGTAAACTTGCATATTGCATAAATTCCAATTTGGAGAAGTTTAGATGTGCATATATTCTGTGCACACACACACGCACACAATAAATTTTGTTGATGAAAATTGTTAAGATCTATTGAAAGTTTCTAGAAGAGAAATGATTGTAGTATATGATTCATACTATAGATAGTCTGAATTAAATTTAATGTCTGAGAAAAAACTTTTATTCTGGTACTGGTCCCAACATGTACTAGATTTACTCCAGATGATTCCAAAATAGACTTTGCACTTAGTGTTATACCAGAGATTCAGAGAGATGAAGTGTATCACCTGGTTAACCTGAAATATGAACTCCTAGCCACCAGGTGCATACTTGTGCCTTCGCTGGATGTCATTGAAAAATAAACAAATGTGTGACCCAACTATGTATAGAATGTTCACATGTGGGGCAAACTAGATGATGAGTAGACATATAAGCACTCCATCTGAGAGGAATGAAGAATCTCTTACAGCCTTGTGAGAAGAATCTAAGTTCAAAGAAAACTCTCAAAATCACACACCTACTCACCAATATTGATCTTTACAACTCTGCAGGTATATATGTCCACCAACGATAGACCTTCTCATTATTCTCCGGGCAGACATGTTTGCTGAGTGACAGGCTTTGTTTCAAAGGGAAAGTACATTTCTGAAAATAATCTATTACTACAGAAATGACATCATTAAGTTTGTAATATGAACTGGGAATGATTAGATGTCAGTCATTTTGTCCTAATTCAAATAGTTATTTTATTATCAAATTTTAATTGTGTTTTAAAAACGTTCATTTTTCGATCATAATAGTAACCCACAGGGCAAGGTGTGGATCTATTATGTCGATAGAGGAACTTTTCATGGACAGTGAGAGCGACAAAGAAGAATTTCTCAGATTTATTCAACTAATGGTAGTGGAAACAAAATTAGGTAACACAGCAAAGTCCAACTCACAAATCAGAGCTTGGAAAAACGTTTGCTTTGAAGAAATATAAAGCATTTTTGGCCTTGCTTTTGTTGATAGGTTTGATAAAGCAACCTTCGTATTTGCCTTACTGGACAACAGACCCCCTTTTATATATGCAAGGTTTTCATGATGTGATGAGTAGGAATCATTTGTCATCAATTCTGTTTAATTTTTTTAATTTTTTTCTTAAAATTTATTATATGTACACTAAAAAAAAAATGTGTACATTTTTCTACATCCTTTCATGAAAATACCCTGAAAATTTTATATCTCTAAAACCCTAAAAGTTACAGTGCTAGTGATATACCCACCATTCAAAAACTTAGCATACCTAAAATTGATGTGGAGCCAGGGGATACAACTCTGAGAGTTAGTGTAGAATTGTAGAGTTTAATGAATAATAATTTTACATATGAGAGACTTAGCCTTGTGTTATTAGTCTGTTCAAAAATAACATTATGTAATTATCTAGAACAAGTCTGCTGTAAATCTAAAGTATTGGTTAAAGTTAAAAATATAAAAGAATTATTTTTATAAATTTTAATGAGATTTGTCATAAAATATCCATTAAGAACAAAAACAAAGTAAAATGATCAGCAAAACTTTACTTAGGTGAATGAATAGTGCATAGTTTCTGTGATAACATCCATAATGCAAATCAAATCTGTTTCAATATAATATTATTTAATATATATATATATATATTTAATTCTAAGAATTATTTGCACAATTGAAATTCTTTTGTGTTGCTGATGATATCTCCAGTATTTTGGCTCATCTATTCTACAGCCTTTTCAGAAACAGAATAAATTCAATCTGCCAGATAAATCTTGGAATATTATCAATTCTTCACAAAATTATAGATATATTTTAATAAAGAGTTCAATTCAAAATTCTCTCAAGATAACTCAGATTGATAGACATTTGAAGAAGGCTGGGGAGCATAACAACAAAAATGTTGTGATAACAACAAAATGAGGACATTAGTCCAAATGTAAATAAGATATTTTTAGTTTACTGTGTATTTTTGCAGTTAATTCATGCTATAGTAATTTTTTAAGGTACTGAGTTTTGTATTGAATGTTCTTGCAAAAGATAGTTGGGATGATTTTATTTATTATGCATTATTTAGATTAAACCCTGAAACACCATCATAAACGTTTTAGAAAAAAACTTTATATTTTTAGTTTGTTTTTTTTTTTTTTGTTTTTTTTAATTAGGCTTATAGGAATATCTGCAGCTTGCTTATTACAAAATGCAGTTTAATACCATAAATTGTAATTTTGAGGCATATTTGTTTATATATTTTCTGAACAGCATCATTAAAAAAACAATTTACTATAAACATTTTCCAGCTTGTTGCTAAGACAAAATCCCCTGCTGAGATCATTGCTGAGTATGAACGGATACAGCGGGAACGAGAAGAGCGACGGCTACAGCAAAGAACCAATCCTCGGGTAAGTCTTAGTGGTTATTCTTTCTGAATAATATTAAGTATGTGCAAAAAAGTATTTTTTTAATTATGTATTTGGTCTATGTGGAGAAGACACTGAGAAATATCTCCTATCAAACCCTAGAAGACATGGCAATCCACAGATAATAAAGAAAAACATGTGGAGAGTCCTGATTGCCTATGTCCTTGAAGGGGTATGGCATTTAAAAAAAATAAATAAATAGAATAAAATTATATATAGTTTTCAAAGAAAGGACTTTGGCACACTCCAAATAAATGGCTATTGTAATTTTGGACACTTTAAAATTTTACTGGAGCTTATGTCTTAACTCTTTCCTTAAATTGTATATAGCTATTCTACAAACATGGACATTGATATTCAAGAATAAATTTCAACAGTTTGCCATTTATTTTTATTATTGTACATTTTTAAGCTAATTTCATAACAGTGCCTCCAGTAAAATAATAAGTTGTCTTAATTTCAGAAAAAAAGAACAATTAAATGTATTGATGAAAAACTGAGAAAATAACAACAAAAAGAAATAAATTTTTGTTTTACTCAAATTATTTACTCAAAATCAATTCAGTATTTTCTTGTGTTTTTTAAAATATTATGTCTTGTCTTGAATCTTTTATATTTTGGCCTGTTGTAACAAACACGCAACAATAACTAAAATACATGATTTTTCTTGTATAAGCAACTTGAGATTAATTTTGGCACAAGAACTAGTACTCAAATTGCTTAAATCTTTTTAAGCTTGGTTCTAATAAATAGGAAAAACATTTTAATGTAACTAAACTAGTAGAATTGGTAGAATTCTTGAATAGAATATAAAATGTATTTAGTAAATCTGTGTGTTTATTATTTTCTTTTAGTTGCTTTAGCCACCAGGACATCCTTAGCAGAATTCCTTAAGGTTTTTATGAATAAAAAATAATAATAATTGTGTATTTGTCTATATTTTTGAGATGAGGTATTGTAACTATTTACATTGATCAGACTTTTGTCCTCCTCTTTATTGCAATATGATGTTTCAGCCATTGTATACTCTAGCTTTCTTCTCCTAAGCCAGTCAAGCATAGACATGAATACAATATAGGGACCAGTAATACAGAGAACTAGAGAAAAAACAGCAATAACAAAAAATTATGATATGAGTTCTGGTAAAAAAAAAACAAAAAAAAAACGATTATTGAGACATTAAAAGAAAATCACTCACTGATATCCTTAAGTGGATAAAAGTGTTGGTTGAAGGATCCTAAAAGTGACTTGACCCAAAGGGTTGTGAGTTCAGTACCTGGCCACAACAGAGGAAACAAAAACTTGGAGGGTTGAGTTACCAAGGGGAATTAACTGATATATTCAAAAGCATGGCACATAGAATTAAAACAATTTACCCCCATGGGCTAAATAAAGGGTTTGAAATTCCAACAAATATAACCTGAAGAAGGTTGGGGTGTACAACGGCTGAAACCTTATGAATATAGCAATAAAGATGAGGACAACAACAGGTCGATCAATGTCAATAGTGTAATTGTGTATTATATAAAATTACAATACATAATATTACAATAATAAAGAAATTAATCTAAATTAAATGAAATACAATTATTGCAACAACTAGAAAATCTTAGAGAGAAATTATTGAACTATCACAGAAACAAAAAATATTGTGCTGTTAAATTTCCTAAAGAATGTCTTAAGATGTTTTTAGATGTATGAAAATACTTCATAAAAATTTCTCTGGAAGCTCACCGATCAGTCAAAAGGATCTACTTCCATTTTTCTTAATGTTTCTGTCCTTCAACCAACAACAAACTTGACTTGTTTTGGCTCGCAATTTGTTGCCAGGATTAAAATTAACCTTGTGACCTAAAAGTTTTTAACTAAGTGCATAAAATATCACTAATGTTATATAGAAATCCTATCTGGGATATTTGTTACTCTCACATCTTCACTTGTGATCACTCCACACTAAACCATTTTGTTATGTTATCCTAGGTTTGGTATAAACTGGATAACAATTCAAAACTGTTTATAATATGTGATGAAGACTGAAGTAAAGACAAGGTATCTTGCCAATATGACGTCTCTTAAAATTATTTCAGTTCTAAGTGGTTAAAACAGCCTCAGTGTCACATAATATAATTCGGCAAAAATACAGACTGACACGACACTGTTTCTTATTAATGAGTGTTCTTTTCACCTTTCTGAATATTCTTTTCTCTCTCCTTTATAAATTTTGATGAACCACCTAAAAGTGATTCAAATTCATGTCACTTTGTTATGCCATTGAACATATATTATCTATGCCTCATTTAAAATATAAATTCAATTTATGATTTGACTGTTTTATTAAAGGAATTAATAAACTTCTGTATAAATGCTATTTTGTGTTACATATTTGTAGGGTACAATAACTATTGGTATTGATGCTACAGACATGTTTGACCATTATGACCTTGACCCAGATAATGAGTAAGTACACCTTTCTGTCTTGATAATCTATTGTACTACTGCTGCTAAAATTTTAATATTTAGCTTACATTTGTATACATTTACTAACTGGTAATGTATTACCATCTTATTAACACTTCTTTTCTCAGTCATTAACAACATACCTAATATGGATATTTTTCAAATACAAAGCTTAAAATAATTGAATATTATTTTAATTATTTTGTTAGCTGTTATCATAGAAAGTCTTTATTAAAATGTTAAAACTTATATTCATTCTAATCATTATGTAGAGAGATATGTGGTGATGGGTCGCTCTAATCATTACATGGAGTGATAGAGAAACATAGATGTATTTTAGCACAAATTGCATTTAGACCCAACCAATATCAGTATGGCTTCAGTTTTTGTTAACTTCTCCACTATACTTCCACTTAGCTAGAGTTGTTGTTGTATTTATATTAGCAGGGAAAATATTGGATGATTGCACTGAATTTAGAAAATTTTTCCTAAAATTATTTTTAGCAAGTTTTAACGTGCAATTTTTATTGAATATTGAGAAGTGCATTAAAAATCAGGAAAAACAAGCTTGTCAATGGTCAGGAATTAAAGCAAATATTAGTGACACAATAGAGCTATTGTCATACAGAGCACAATGAGTAAATTGTTGCTATTTTATATTTTTAATTTTGTGCATGCACGTTGTTTTTGATTTTGTTGACTGCATAGTATAATAGGGTCAGTTGGGCACTGGCTGTGAAAAAAAAGAGTGCCATGATGCAATTCACTCTGCCAGAAATTTGGAAATGGCATGCTGTACTGCTTGGCATTCACTCCAGAGGCTCCAATACAAACATTTCAGAGTATTTGGGTGTCAATCTGAGGACAGTGCACTGGATTTGGAAAGAGTTGAATGAGTCTAATGGTGATTATGAAGGTACAGCAGCTCAGAAAACTCGCTCTGATCATTCTGATAAGAAAAGAACTCCCAAATTTGTTGGTTAGGGCCTCAGACTCAACACTTGAGGCATACATCAAGTGCCTTGAGGAGGTAGTGCTGCCCTGGATCAAGAAGTTGTCTGCTGGAAGACCCTATGTCTGGCAACAGGACTCTGCACCATGTCCACAAGCAGGAAAACCCAGTCATGGCTGTCAGACAATTTCTATGACCACATTATTTCTTACATCTGGCCACTTAACTCCCCAGACTGCAACCCCCTTGATTATTATGTGTGGGTTGCAGTTGAGTGAAAGTCCAACAAAACTCCTTGTAACACCAAAGATGAACTGAAGGCAAGGATTATGGCAGCATTCACCAACTTAAACAAGGAGACTATCCAGAAGAGATGCAGGAGATTCTGTAGTTGTCTGGAAAGCCATGGTTAAAACCAATGGTGATTTTTATTGAATAAATTTACTCTTTAGTATTTGTAGATAGTTTTGTGTAATTTTGGTAGTATATCTGTTAAAATGAGATGTCAGTGTTATTTTCATTTTTGTATAATTTAGACTACAATTTATCCATCACACCCTGTATATAATTTTACTGTAGAAATACACTGAATATCAAGACATTGGTGGTCAAGAATGAAAACTAATGCTGTTGTTGGTATAATTTAGCACAAGTATATAAGTTGGTTTGTTTTTAGAGTAACTAATATATTTTGAGAAAAATCAAAATAAAATTTTCAAGTGTGCCTTTTCTTTTCAGTTCTTTTATTCCATACTTTGAAGTAAACAACATGACTCTAAGTCAATCGGTTGAAGCCCCTCTTACTCTAAATGACACCGTCACATTTGGTGGTAACATTGAAGCCCAGAATGGAAATGGTAATGGAAATATCATGATGCTGTGGAAAAGATTGATCTCAGAAAAATCATGGACAGAGGTAGACAATATTGCATTTCTTTTTGGTTTTTTTTTTGCTTTTTTAAATTTATGTATAAAGATATTTTTAATCTTTTATGTTTTTACTTTTCAGAAAATATTTTGATTCTTTTGCAGAAAAGCAATTCTTTGTATTTTTTAAAAAACAAATATTGTTGATTTAAATTTTATTTTCAGAGCAAACAAGAATATCAAAGTACTTTTTTTTTTTTTTTTTTTTTTTTAGAGTGTTCAAAAGTTTTTTGGGGGTAGGTTGGGGAGTTAATGCAGCTTCAAATATATTTAATAAGATTTCAAAGAAAATTAAAGAAAAAAAACAATTCAAAATACTGTGCTTTTAACATGAATGAAGAAAATTTCTTTTCAGTCATTTATGAAGTTATTTTTTATTTTTCACTTCCACATTACTAGGGAAAATGTCTTCCATTCTCTCTCTGTTTCATTTTGGGGCTTTTTCTGCTTAGAATTAACATTTAACTACATCATGGCTTCAGTGTCAGACAATATTACACTGTAATATATTGGTTAATTCTACAAATTCTATAGAAGGTAATTTATGAGATATTAATTTATTCTTTCGCGCAGTACATATTAACTACAACATTGCTAGTGTAGGAATTATGAAAAGCAGAAAGATTACAAGTCGGCACACCTGTAATTAATAATAATAACCAAACAACAACTGTGTAATATTTTAAATTCTTTTAATAGTTGCAGAAAATATTTTCCCAATATCTCTAATAATTAAATATACAAAGGTAATCAAGTTTTTAAAACAATTCTTTTGAAAATCTTGTTATTAAATCAATATTATAAAAAATTACAAAAACATCCCTAAAATTTTTTTTTTTTTTTTTTTTTTTTAGACAAAAACCCTAGAATATAAATAAATGTTCAAAATGGATCATATTATTATTTTTAAAATCTTCAGACTAAAGCATCCTAATCGGCTTTTCTTTTGTTTTCCTATTTTTTTATTTTTCAAGGACATATCTGTAAATACTAAATTAAAAAAGTGAAATGCAATTGCAAAAAAAAAAAATTTTTTTTTTCCCTCTCAAATTTTGAAGATAAACCCGTTTTGAAAATGCACATATTCTCTTTTACATAAATGCCAAAAGTTTTATTAAAATTAAATTAGATGAATTTTAGTCGTTTTTAAAAATCAACATATTTTTATTACTGAAAAAAAGGCAATGATATTTTATGGTGACAAGGTAAACATTTTTAAAAGCAAATATTTCTGATTCTGCTTAAAATTTACAAATAATATTTATATCAGAATTTTTTTCCCATTCTTTCACCTTTTGATTAGTAGTCAGGGGAATGACCATAAAATTAAAAATTTTCTGCCATGAAAAGTGAAAATATATATGACTAGCTTAAAAGCCGCCCTATTAGGTGGCATTTAAGCTGGCACTTGTGGAAGGCTCTTAAGTGGGCCTTCATCACAATATGTAGGAAAGAGTAGATGCAACAATAAACTACAGAACTCAAAATTGATCACTGCATTTAAGTATTGCATTAATATTTAAGCTTTCCTTTTAAAAGTTCAATGATAATTCTTCTGCTGCCATTTAATTTAAAGCCAATTTGATGTACATAGATCCTTACTTTCCATACAATCACTTATTTTTACTTCATGGGCGACTTTTGCTGAATTTTGCAATTAATTTCAATTATTCCCAAATTTATTTCCAAGTTATAAAAATTGTTATTGTGCAAAAAAAAATTTGTTGCAAAAAATCACTGAAAACAATCTCAGTGATGAAAACTTGGGAATCCAAAATTTCAGGATTGCCGGTCTGGATCAGGCCTGGAACGTTTTTAATTTGCTCACGGAGTTGGCCTGATTCCAAAATGGTACATGTTGGGCTATGCCTGTAAGATTAAAGTTGAAAAAATGACATTCAGATTTATTATATAAATTAATGAGTAAAAGTTTGTTACTTAGCTGATTGATGTTACCTTCAGCATCTCAACTCCAGTTTCATAGCTGTACCTGTCTGTTCACTCTTCAGGGGCTATCACACACACACACACACACACACACATTTTTTTTCTATTCAGATTTTTTTTTATCTTTGTGCACATATCAAGAAACCTATCAATTGATAACTTTTGTAATTATAGTCCTATAAGTTAATACATCTTTGGCATTGACAAACTAATTTTACAATTAATGGGCTTAAATGAGCCAAGTAGCTTGTTCCAAATTTTCAAATGTTCCAAATTTTCAATCGAGAAATAATATTTTCCTGATTAATTTTTAATGTCTTTGAGATAAAATCTTAAAACAAAATCATAGGAATCTCCCAAAAAATTTTTTCATTCTTTTTGTTTTCATTTTTTTTTTTTTTTTTTTTTTTTTTTCTTTTATATTGGACAAGTGGTCTGAAAACTTAAAATTTTTCCAAACTTTGCCAAACCCAAAAAATAAAATAAAATTATATATGTCAATCCATAAAGAAGGAAAAAAAATTGTAATATGTAAGTTATGAACTTATATGAATTTTTAAGAGAACATAGTGGTTATTTTTTGTTCTGCATCATGGTGCATCATAACCTAGTAATGTTTTGTGATTTCCATCTATAAGCCCTTTGAATATAAGCATAGAATTTATAGAATGTGTTTAAAAAAACAAAATAATAAAAAATAATGCTATAATAGTAATATTAACAAAATTCTTTTTCTTGCTATTTGATCAAATTAATAGCCATTTAAAACAAAGAAATTTTCATATCAATTAGTGAAATATTTATTATACTGAGTTTTTCTCCCCACTACAATATTTAAATAGTAAGCCCCATAAATGTATGCCTATTTAATTTGCAGTATACATGAAGTTCAAGTTTATAAACAGGTGAAAAAATTTTCTGCATAAAGAAAATTTTTAGAATATGTACTATTCCAGTTTTGGTTGGATACCAAAATTGCCAATTTCACTCTTTAGCAGTGCATTTAACTTCTGTAAATCAACATCTCACTCTTTGTCTTGTTTATGAAATAATATATATTAATAAGGGAAAAAGTTAGATGATGATTTCTTCTTCTACCTGCTGTGTCTCTTCAGGACATAGGTGATCATGGCTCTTCACAACCTCCTGTCCTTTGTAGCTCTTAATAAATTTCATCTTTTTATCTCTCCTGAACCTTGCTCTATCATCCATTTACTCAAGATTACTAGGTAGGTTATGTGCTATTTTCCTCTGTCCTTCTTACCTTCAGTTGGTCCTCTGAATATCAAATTTTTCAAGCCCTCTTTCCTCATTATGTTTTAGAAATTTAAACTATCTCTTCCTGATATTAAGTATAACAGTCCTTTTTGTTACCATTTTCTCTAAGACTTTGTCATTGCTTACATGTTTGATCCATTGTATTCTCAGCATCCTTGTGTAAAACCATATTTCTGTTGCTTCAAGTTTCTTCATCTGTGAGGAGATTGCCCAGCATTCACTGACATATAGAAGTACTGAAATTACATAGCAGTTCAGTACTCTTTTCTGTTTCTAACAAAAAAATATTCTGTATAAAGTAAATGTTTTAGAATGTGTACTATTCCAGTTTTAGTTGGATACCAGAGTTGCCAATTGAGTTCTTTTTCAGTGCATCGAGCCTCCTGTAAATCAACATCTTGATCTTTGTTTTATTTATGAAAGAACAAATATTAATAAGGGAAAAACGTAGATGTTCATTTACAGGATCTAGATGCCCTGCAAAAGAGTGCAATTAGTAACTGCTAACTATTCCAGATTATAATACTTCTTTATATATAGTTTTATATTTAATAAAATCATTTTCAATTTATCTAATTCTAATTATGTTGTTTACCCACCCACACAAGGGTAAATTTAAATACAACCTTAAAAATTACAATCTATAAATGTTTCAAACAACTAATAAACATAGTTATGCTGTGTTAATTTAAGTAATAAAAATGTGACGTGTGTGTATATATATATATATATATATATATATATATATATATACACATACAATATAGGTACCTCCACTTTTGTTGAGAAATAAAAACGGCATACCATGATGACAAAAGCCCCTAACTTAATAAAAACAAAGTTTTTATCATCAAAATGTTTATCATTAAGAGGAAAGACCAAAGTATTTTTAAATTTTTTAATCCTTTCTAGCTCATTTTGAAATTTTGGTTAAAACTTTTTCTTTTTTTTTTTTTTTTTTTTTTGCGTTAGCAGTCAATGTATTATTTACAATTAGTGTTTTAGCACTATTTTTCAGGTGAAGAACACATTGATTTAGAAATTCTTGCAAAAATCAAATAATTGTCAGATTTTAATGAAACTTTCTGAACTTATTCATAAATGAATGAAATTATTTTTTAAATATTTTTCTTAGAAAATCTTGGTTTTAAAAAAAAAAAAAAATTTTATGTTACTTAATTAGATGAAATTTTGAGAAATTACATTTTAATCCCAAAATTGTTTTTATCAGGACTCCTTTGAGAATGTAAATCATCAATTTTTTATTTTTTTAAACTGCTACTCATTTGCTGAAAATGTGCTCCAAATCATAAAATAAAAATGCAATAAAACTATGACTACTTAATTAGAAAAGCTTTTAATTGCTTTTATAAATCAAATTTCTTAAAGATACTATTGTCTTTAAGAAAAAAAATTTTTCTGATGAATAAAGAATTTACAAGAATTATTTTAATTTTTTTTTTTTTTCAATTTTAATTAATAATTTATTATAATTTTTTCAAAATCTTTTAAAATTCTACATTAGTTTAATCTTGTTAGGTTATTATTGTTATTAAGTAAAAACTATATTTAGTTATTGTTAGTAAATATAGTTTTTATTTAATATCAAAAATTGAAAAGCTTAATACAGTTCATTTCGCACCAAGATTTTTTAAATAATTTATTTTTTTATGTCTATAAAATATGTAATGTGCCTGTTTTTTTTAATTATCGTCCACCATACACGACATTATCAGAAAATAAGAGCAATGACTATGGTAAATTTAAAGACAGCATTCCTAAAATTAGATTACAGAGAACATTTTCCAACATTTTTAAGATTATGGTGTACTTAAAAAAATTATATATAAAGAAAAGCACTTACATCATTTTCTTAAATTATGTTTTACAGATAAAGTCTCCATAGAACAACAATCATTATGCAAACACCTGTCATTGCCTCATCAATTATGTAAATCATGGTGATATTGGTTAAAAACACAGCTGCTGTTTTGTTTTAAAAATACATTTCTGTGTTATTTGAAACTTAAAGTAAATACAATAGAATCCCTAACAACCTGACTAAGACCTGGATATGAAGAATTGTTTACAGAATATGAATATGAGGGGTTTATATTTAGATTAAGATAAAAGAACTGAAATCAGGTTTAACATTTATTTTCAAAGTTTTATAGTAAACAAAATAAGCTAATGGTGAGTGAAATATAACAGAATTGATTTTAAGAGGGAAAAAAAAATTGTTAATGAAAATTCATTAAATTAAGTATGTCACATGTGCAAAACAAATAATGTAATGAGGATTTTTTAATTGCTGTTACATGATGATTCTTTCTCTTCTAATGTCATTCTCAACTTTTTCCGCATTTCATTTTGCTTTCGTTCTTGAAATTTTTTAAACAAGAGACACTTTTTAACTCTGCGTGCATTATTACAATCATCATAGCTGAATACTGGCTTTCTTACCATAAAACTGATAACCTTTTCAATGGCTTTTTCAATTTCAGTCCAGGTTTCATCACAATCATGCATCTTGTCGCTATCTTGTTGCAGATGTGTCTCGTTGTCATCTTCAGGTTCTAGGGAGGATTCGTCATTTAACTCCCCATCGTTATTACCTGTATTAACCCATTCTACCAACTCATCAGAATTAATGTTGCACAACTGATTCTCGTTGTTAGCAATTTTAAAAGTTTCCTTCAGAATGTGTACCTCTTCATTTTTGTTACATAAATCTACACTTACAATCTCATTCTTTTCTGTTGATGCATTTCCATCAGTTTCATTTTGTTCTTTTGGAAGCAATTTTTTCCATGCACTTACAAATGTTTCTGATTTCACAGACTCCCATGCATCACGGAGCAAAAAAACAGCATCTTTAATGTTAAAACTCTTTTGAAATTCTAATGGTTTGCTACCTTTTTGCATCATTTGCATCATGAAATGCCTCTTGTAATAACACTTCACATCTGCTGTTACTCTCTGGTCCATGGGTTGAATAAGTGGTATGACATTTGGTGGAAAATAAACAGCATAAATATTTCCGCAGTCGGACACAAGTTGAGATTCGTGTGGGTGAGCCTTACAGTTGTCAAGGACCAGCAAACATTTTGTATCATCTGGTTTACCTGATGTTTTAAAATGTGAACGTACTTCAGGAATAAATTGTTTAAAAAACCACTCCTTAAAGATAGGTTTAGTCATCCAAGCACTTTTTTGGGATTCATATTTTACTGGTAGGTATACCAATCCTTTGAAAGCTCTAGGACATGAAGACTTTCCTATTACCAAAGGATTTATTTTGTGTGTGCCAGAAGCGTTTGCGCATAAAAGAACAGTCAGTCTTTCCTCGTTTTGTTTGAATCCAGCACCACTTTTTTCTTCAATTCCTGCTAAAGTTTTTTTTGGTAGACACTTCCAGTTCAACCCAGTCTCATTGCAATTGTAGACTTGATCATGAGTAAATCCTTCTTCCTTCAATAACGATGCAAAAGTGGCAGATAATGTTGTAGCTACATTACAATCTGCTGATTTGATTTCTCCGGCTACAGATAATTGCCTAATGCCATGATGAATTTTAAAACGATTTAGCCAGCTGCAGGTAAATTTGCAATCTAAATTTAGATTCAATTCATCATTTAATGATTTGGCCTTTGCTATGAGCATCGGTCCTGAAATCGACATCTCTTCTGAACATTTCTCAGAAAACCATTTGTACAGTTTTGCATCTAAATTAAGAGATTTAGGTTGATGAAAAGTTTTTTTATTTCCTTGTTCATTGTGACAGTGTGAACGCTGGAGAATAGTTTCTTTTGAAGATTTTATATCATACAATGTTGACTTCCCTATGTTGAACTCAGCCATTAGTTTCAATGAACTTTCACCAGCGTCTAGTCGGTTTAAAATTTCCACTTTTTGCGATAACTCCAAAATTGTTCTTTTCCTCTTATTCCCATCATCTTTTGCACTAATACAAGCCATTAGGGTGAAATAATCATAAGCAATTATCCAAAGTAAGTTTCCTGAAAAAACAGAAATTTCAAATCAGTGGCATATCACCCAAATAGTTCAAATATACATATCAAAATCATGCCTGGATATGAGGGATTCTACTGTAATTTTTTTTTTGCAAATCGGATTAATTATACTTTAAATCAGCTAATATTCCTCAAAGTTTCAGAAAAATACATTTTATTTTTGAAAAAATTTTAAAACCAAGAATTAACTTTTGTTTGCAAATGTCTCAAAATTGGCCGATTTTGTGAAAGTAATCAAAAAGTTGAGATTCCAATCAATGTAATTTCTAGTTGAAATACACCAGAATATTTTGCTTACTGGAAATAGTAAATTTAATCCATTAGCCTTCGATTAAAGCTAAAATGAAAGCTTCAAAAAAGCTTTTTCATTTATAAAAATGCATTTTAAACCTTAGGTATCAAAAACTTAGTGGAGGTACCTGTACTATCTATTCCAGGTTTGGTTGGATACCAGAGTTGCCGTTTTTTTTGTTTTTTTTTGTGTGTGTATACATTTAGCTCCTGTAAATCAACGTATGTCTTATTTATTAAAGAATAAATACTAACAAGTCATATGCTGATGTACAGGAGTGTTAAATGCCCTAAAAAAAAATCAAGTTAGATCTCTAGCTCCAAAAGGGCTAAATTGACAACTCTGTTGGATACAATACCAGCTGTCTTGAATTTCAGTTATTTTAAACATCTGCTTATGTCAATACATTATACAATCTCAGATTTACTTATGCAAAAAAAGTTTAAAATAATAAAAAAAAAAGATTTCCATTCTCCATTTTATCACACAATACACAGGAGGATAAAAGTTGAATTATTATTTTTTTTTTACCAGTATTGTACATAAATACATACATTTATATTTTTCTGGATATAACATGACGGATTTGTTTAAATTAAAAAACGATTAAATACTCTTTTATAGTTTGATTAAAAAAAAAATAGTCATTCTGTTACTTAACTAAAAATCAATATCCAAATTATATGTATAACGAACCCTAGGACCTAGTCAGTGTTAAATTTGGACATTGATTCTCATTCACTAACTTGAATTCTGCTTCACTACACCTGAAATGGTCATTTTAAATTTTAAGATGACCATTTCAGAGCATTAACTCGAATATTTTAAAATTTTAAATATTTGTTGAATTAAACCTCTGTATATAACTATGATTTTCTCTGACAACTGAAATAAATGAGCAACGTTATCAACAAGAGAAAGAAAAAGAAAATACCATTTTGTTAAAAATAAAATAAAATAAAATGTTACTTACTAAATTTTCAATCTCTTGCTTTCGTTTTATTAGATTTTTTTTATATGTAGTTTTAACTACATTTGTGGAGACTACATCATAAAAGGATTTTTTAGTAATCAACATTGTTTACAAATTCATTCAATCTTAAAATCAGTTTCAAAGTCTTTGGCATTTTCTTTCTTTCGTTATATTTTGTTTTTAAAGGAAATAACATTGTTGTAGTTAAATTATTTTGTTCAGCTATTTTTTTCTGAATGATTAAGTTAATTAATTATGACAGATCGTAAATGAATTAAAAATATCATTTGAATTATAATTAGTTTGATTTTTTTTTTTTAAAAAAAAAATTGGTGTTTTAAACGGGTTCCGTTTCAAAATTCTTTTTTGTGTACTTACGATTACAATGTACAGTAATTTACACTTAGTCTATCTATAAAAAAAACCACATGCATTAATAAAGAGGATAGGCGACAAAATGTTACACACGAAGTCGTTTAAAGTATCGATATGTAGAGATTGTAATCAGTAAAAGTTATGTTTAAGCACATCAATAATCAATAGCTAGTTTCCTGTTATTGCTATTGACTTCTCTTAATTTTTGCAATTGCTCAGTTATGTCTGGCGGCGGCAGCTAACTCATTTGAATACAAACAAAGGCCGATATTCTTAATAATTGTACATATTTGAGTTAAGGACTTTTTTATCATTATGAATCTCTTTAAAAAAAAAATGATATATTAAGGAAAAAGAAAAAAATGTCCTTCTCCCTTTTTTTTTTTTTTTTTTTAAAACAACTTCACGTATTTTAATGTCTTCGTCGTTGCTGGTTACATTAGAGCCGGCCCAGACATGACTACTTGATATGACTGTTCACTAAAGATGGCGGACTACCGCGTAACGTGGGATAAAAAAAAGGAGAATGAATTGATTGACTTCTTTGAAGGTAAGTCAAATTTGTTCACTTCATTTATATTTCTGATCATTATTTTCGTTTTTCTGACTTTTGGTATACTTATCATAAGCCTAATTTATTCATAATATATTATTTTCTTACACACGACAGCGCACCCTTGTCTCTGGGATCACAATCACATCGACTACTTCAGAAGAGATGTACGTGATGCACTTATGAAAGAACTTAGTAATAGATTGGGATGTGATCGTTCTGGCCAAATTTACACAGGTAAGTAAAAGGAAAGTTAACATTTAAGTAAATTCTCTCGATTAGAAAAGATTACTTCTTATATCTGCGAGTATAATGCGAAACGGAAGTCTAGTGTTTGTTGTTTTCTTTACTCGACACTAGCCGACATTGACGATGATGCATATGACTTCTTTGGTGTTATGACTGTTAAAAAGTAAATTTAACTACATTTTCGAAAATTACGAAGCTTTTCTATTTTTGTCTATAATTGTTTTTAATTGTATCTTCATTATTTTTTATCCTCTGTAAGTTTGTATTTTCATTTTACTCAGAAATAAACTTTATCAAGTAGGCTGACTTGAAACTTGAAACTATTATTATTAATAAATTAATTATAAACAAATTGTATGTGTTGATGGAATGTACTATTTTGTTTATTTTAGTATAAAATATTTTTTTAACTAGAGAATATTTTTTTCACTCTACCATATACTTAGTAATATTTTTTTTTTGTTTTTTGTCGAGCGAACAAGCACAGCGCAAAGTGAATCACTTGATTCATGAAAAAATGAATTCAAAATAATAGCGTTTGCAAATTCTTGGAACGGAATTTTTAACAACTGACATCATCACCAAGGAGCATAAGATGACATTGACCTGTTTACTAAACTTTGTATAGTTATTAACCAAACACGCCCAAGACATGTTTAGTTTTCATGAAAACTACATGTGACGCCCCACCTGCTAAAAACAAATTAGAAACAAGCAGGATTTTTTTTTTTTATCATGTTTTTTGATAAGTGCATTTTTGCATTTATATGTGCAAGCAGTAACCAGCTGGAGATGACTGGTTGCATAAACATTGTCAATAATATATATACAATGCTGACATTAATGAGATTACTGGTAAAGTTTACATAAGGATCTTTTTGTGTAAAAAGAAAGAAAAAAAAACGACAGTAGGGAAATCAATATTTTGGATGCTAAAGAATTGATTGTATTCTGCATTCTCTGAAAAATGATTCCTCAAATTGTCCTTATTAGAAAATGTACTGAATAGATAAAAATTTGGTACTTTATTAACTTTCAGTTCAATGGCAGATAGACGAGATTTATGGGGGTTAAGTGTGTGAACATTGATGGGTGAAGGACACTGCTGGTGAGCAAAACAGTAACTCATAGGTGATCTACTGTTCTGGACATGTAGCAGTGGAGCATGATGAGTTGGTTGCCCAGCAACCACCTACATTGATCAACTATGTTATGATAAGGAATGCCTCCTTAATGACCTTCTGACCTTGATGTAGGACCATGATGGTTGCTGTGATACCCATAAATGTCTTGACCAAATAAAATAATGTACAAATCAAAAAGAACTTGGGACTATCGGGTTGATGTAAATTCCATGATTCTTTCCTTAGCTGCATAGTATGTGTTTTGCCAGGGCTACACATGGTTTTGAATTCAGAGTTATCCTTCTCCTAGACTATAGGAACCAGTCTATCCTGCTACTTGCCCATAGCTGGAGCAGAGAAGAGATGGATTCATACTTTTTCCAACAGTACTTGCATGTAAGTGAATGTAATGAATTCAATTAGAATTTTAATTTGGCTCTCCGATTCTTCAATCTGAGCAGCTATCCATTTTTCTCCACTGTGCCACCATAAATGGAGGCACAGTTGAAATCGGATCTCCAAATTATTAGATATGTAAATATATCTTGTGAGAATTTGGCCCATATGTTTCATATATAAAGGCCTTTAGCAGATGATGGTCTAGTTAGTCCTCAAAGGGGTTGATATCGACATCTTGGAGGGGGGGGGTCAAAGGGACGTTGATAAATAGAGGTGACTTAAACTAAAACTCACTAAGTTCCAACTAACAATGTCCTTACTACTGCTCATCAAACACTTTCTCATTAATGTCAACCAATTTAATAAAATGGTTTAATTTATTTTTAATATGTTTATTATTGCCTATATATTATGAAGTTTTTCTTATTCAAGCAAACACATCTCATGTAGAAAAAGGAATAACAATGTAAAGTTAAAATGAATCTATCAATAATAAGGATGGGGAAAAGGCAAAGGAATTTTTACCCTTGAAATAAAAAATAAAAAAATTGTGCTTGCCTCTTGTTCAATAAGGAATCGAGTATTCTATGATAAGGTCAATGGTTTAAAATGTTTGGGGACCTCTGATCTGATTATTCTATTTGGTATTTATACGAAATTACTGTGACAACAAATTCTTACAGGATACTCATATTCTTGAGACTAACAAGATTGTTAACATGAATCAGAAACTAGTTAGTTTGAGAATTTCATTCCCCCACTCCTTTCTTCAAAAAGAAGGAAATTCTGGAAGATCTCCACTTTAATACTGTATTTGGTATGATTAAAAGGAAAGAAAAGGGTACATCTTATACATGTAAAGACTGCAATGTTAAAATGCATTTTGTTATACTTTAAAATTTACAATGTAAATATTAATTTTTAGTTTCCTTTGAAACCATTTTCTTTGCAATTCCCCCCCCCATGCTATTTACAATTATATTCAAGAAAATAAATTGTTTCACAGTCTCACCATGGAAGGAAGGTGACTCCTTGATGTTATCAGTCTAGAGGAGGCAATCCCATTGTGCGGCACCTTTGGAAAGTGCCAGAAAATCATACCACAGGTTAACCCAAACCTTGTGAGTGAGATTGGGTAGACAACTCCTTGGGAGCCTTCCAACGGTTGTGCTAGCACCAAGTCACAAGTCATCGTGACCAAGGGTCTTAACTGTGCCAGCCTTGTTCAAAGTGTTAAACACATTGGATACCTACCTCTTTCTCTCTGTAACCAAGGTCCATAGTTGCAGGTGGGCTCTGTAAGTGTTGCAGAAACACAATGTGCCTGAGCATGCAACTGCAACAGGGATTGGCTAATCAATCTAGTAGACGGGCATCCTCGGATATGAGTGGGCAGCCTTTTAATTGCCCTAAAAATGTAGTAAATTATGACCTCCATTTAGAAAATAGCAATTAATGAGTTAATAAAGTTGCCACACAAAAATTGTTTTAGAAAGGTTTCCTATTAATCATCCAATTGTAATTGAATATTTTTGCCACTAATTTCAATTCAATAGAATTTTTTCACACTTATTTACTCTTGTTTTACTTATGGAAATTAGAAACCAAACACTGTTGATATGTATGCTATTTGATTCTTTTCAGAAACACATATAAAAAGGCGGTGGAAAAATATCCGTACAACTTATGCACGAGAGTGTCGAAAATCTGAAAATAAGTCTGATACCAATCCTGATAATCAATATGTCTCCAAGTGGGCTTTCATTGACAGACTAGGGTTTGTCAAAGATTTTATCAAAGCAAGGGCTCCTAATAATTACATTAACTTTAACTCGAATTTATCATCCTCAACTGCTGACCATTCTGAAAACTTCCAGGTATGTTTGGAATTTCTACAAGTATATTCTTTGTACCTTCTCGCAACTCTATGGAGTCTTTACACAAAACCTTAGGACTCTGATGCCAACTCCTCTATTTGTAGTTAGCTTAATTATATATGTGAGCAAGTGCTGAAAATTTGATCTTGCTCACTTCCCAAAATCTGTATGCCATACACACATACGCCATTCACATATATTGAAAAATGAACAACCATCAGGGTGTACAGCATGTCTCAATCTATACACTGTACAGTGTATGTTGATAAAATGTGATAACCAAAATCTAACTCAGCTGTGATGTTATCAAGTAAATGGTTCAAAAAAATTATTCAACAAAACTCAACCAAACACTAGATTTGTATTTTTATGAAAAGTTAAACTATATAATATAATTGCAAATACTTGCATATGTACACATATGTGTACATGTATATAACATTATAAACCTTTTACATGTATATAACATTATAAACCTTTTACATGTATATAACATTACAAACCTTTTACATGTATATAACATTACAAACCTTTTACATGTATATAACATTACAAACCTTTTACATGTATATAAAATTACAAACCTTTTACATGTATATAAAATTACAAACCTTTTACATGTATATAAAATACAAACCTTTTATACATGTATATATTACAAACCTTTTACATGTATATAAAATTACAAACCTTTACATGTATATAAAATTACAAACCTTTTATATGTATAAAAATTACAAACCTTTTACATGTATAAAAAATAACAAACCTTTACATGTATATAAAATTACAAACCTTTTACATGTATATAAAATTACAAACCTTTTACATGTATATAAAATTACAAACCTTTTACATGTATATAAAATTACAAACCTTTTACATGTATATAAAATTACAAACCTTTTACATGTATATAAAATTACAAACCTTTTACATGTATATAAAATTACAAACCTTTTGTGACATAATGTAACACTTTGTTGTTGAAGTGTAATTAAATACAAGGGGGGAAAAATGACCCTGACCAAACATTTTTATTTTTTAATTATTTTTATTTCTTCTTGCCTGGCTCCCAAAATTTTCATGGCTAGTGTGTGCGTGCGTATATATATATATATATATATATATATATATATATATATATATATATAGGGAAAGATTGCCAGTATAGTAAACCAGTGGAAGAAATTCAAAGAGACATAATAATATTTATTGTATATTCTTAGGCTATCTGACAAAATAGAAGCATGAGAAAAATGTTAGAAATCCTAATTTTGAGATATGCCTGTGTCCTTTTCAACAAATGAAGAGAAGACACAGGTACTTCTGAAAATTATGATTTTTAACATTTTTCTTATCATGATTCTATTTTGTCTAATGTCCTAAGAATATACATTAGGCTATTGCTATTGTCTTTTATAATTTATTTCATTAACTTACTCTATGTATATATAATCATACAAAGCATTTCATCAGCTTGCTGTTTATCACCCTAAAATCTTATTGTTCAAGTTTAAAGACTATAGCCTTATTTTTGTGGCTTTTATATATTATTCATGAAGGAAATTATAAACATTTAGTAACAGTAAATCTAATATATAAAAATTAAGATATTTTTATCAAAATTTTATATAAAAAATCAGGAACATTGTTCTTTACCTGGTAGTAGTATATCCTTTTGGAAGAGTTTTCAAAATGAAAACTAAAAAGAAAAAATAATGAACACTTAAAGCAAATAAATATTCTATCTGTATAATTGCTAGCTGCTGTGGATACGCAACAAAAAGCATATATTGAATTGGAAATAGCTTAAACACTTTTTCAATAACACTTTTTTTGGCTGTACCAACATAATAGTTCTTAGATCTCTTTTTGTCGAGTCATAATAATTGTAAACCTGTCCTGCTAAATCTTTGTTCTCTATGAGGCACTGTATAGACTCTAACAAATTTGGTTCTCTTGATTACTAGCAGTTCTGTAATAGTGTATTAAATAATGTCTTCAATCCCATTTCTCTTCACTTGAGGTATTATCTTCTGCTGATGAAGCAGAATGTTTTGCTTGTAAATTCTCTTTCACTTCTACTCTTAATTCATCTGGAGTATCTTTGTCCAACTTTCCACTTAGAACTGAGTCTCTACTTTGTGATGTGCATATAACGCTGTCTATGGTTTCTGCTAACATCTCTAAATTGAATCCCTACAAAGCATGTGTTCTTGATGATATCCCTGAAATAGTCCTTAAGAAATGTTCTTCTGAACTGGATTCTATTCTCTCTAAATTTTACAGTAAATGCTTTGCTGCTTCTTTCTTTCCTGCTTGTCAGAAATCCTCTTCTGTATCTCCAAATTTAAGAACTTGAGCAAACCAATATTTTACTTGACTTTTCTAGCAGAATAGATAAAAACTAAATTATCGACTTTTAACTGTTTAAATGCTAAATCCACGATGGAAATTTTAGCGTCTGCTTTTTTAATATACTTTTTGTACTTGCTGTGTCACTATATACATAATGATTTGAGTGGAAGAAAGTGAACATATTTGTTTGTTAAATTCTACCTGTGATATCACATGTTCTATAAAGAGTTACTTTGATATTAACCAAGTTTTCTCATTTGTAGACACTTTCAGATGATGATATTGACAGAGAGGAAGAAGAGGAGGATGATGATTTGGTTGTATGTTTATCAGAGTCTTTCAAAGAAAATCACTCAACTCAAAAATCCAGTCCTGCAATCTGGGAGAGCGATGATAAGAATAATCAGAATATTTGGATATCCGAGAATGCTAGTTTACTGAACAATCATTCTGATGTGAAAAATCTTGATAACAGTAAGACAACATTAGGTGAGACATGGATAGTACAAGAAAAATCTGGGTCTCAGCCTGAGTGGAGACTTGAAGAACAAAGGAATAATTCCATGGAAATGTGGAAGAAAGGCTCAAGGCCTATAGGTCACATTGAGATTTCAGAAAATAAACTTGAATCTGGGACTAATACTAATTCCATTGGACATATTACCTATATACATGAACTGAAGGGTTCACTATCAGAAAAGTCAAGTCCCAATCAAGAATATCAACAGGCAGAAGTGATTTCTATTGCTGAATCTTATAACAATGAAAAAGTTTCATGGAACAAAGAGAAAGAAAATGAACTTATATCTTTTTTTGAAAGTAAGTATTTTTAATTTCTTTCAATCATTTACCAACAAAACTAATTGCAAGTTTGTGTAAAATGTAATTATAAAAGAGCAAAATTTGGCAGTAACTTAGGTTTTACAGCCACATCACGTTGAAACACCAGTTCCCTGTACAATACTGTTTAAGCAATGTCTAGCCTGGGCAGTACCTAGATGGGTGACGGTTATGGGATAACAGGTCTCGTAAGCTTGGATGTGTGGATGGTGCAATGATAATGGCTCGGAATTGTTAATCAGAGAGCTGGGTTCCAATTCTAGTTGGGTTTGTTATATTCACTTACATGCAAATACCCATGCAAAAGGTATGAATCCACCTCTTCTATCTCCACCTATGGGTTAATTAGTAAAGACTTGTATTACTAAGCCATTATTAACCCCCCCCACCCCCACCAAAAAAGATAATTTTCACATTCTAAAAATAACAATATTTTTTGATTCTAAATAACATGCAATGGGTTGATATGATGTAGAAAACAAATCAATCAATTGGCATTAATGTAGATTTTGAAATACCTGTTAATTTTTTTTTATTTATTTATTTTTTTTTTTTCCATTGTAATATACACATAATTATTAATGTACATACTAGAGATGTGCGGTTTAACTGAAACAACTTTTTTGGTTTAATTTTCACACTGAAACTGCATTGAAATTTTTTACAAAACAGCAATTTTGGTTTCATTTTTATATTACTACTGAGTAAGCATATCCAAAGAAACACTATTGAAAAAGACTTTCAGATGTTAATAAAATTAAATTTTATCAACATTTATACCATTGTAAGAGAAAAAGATTGAACAAAAATATGTTAACAACATTTAATTGACTAGTTTTAGGAAATAAATGTGAAATCTATTTGTTTACAAAAGAAATGAAGAAAAAGTAAGTATGACATGATGTCTGAAAGTAAAATCTATTTGTTTCAGTTTAAAAAAAACAAAAAAACTCATTGCGGTAAAATTAAGTTAACAACAAAATAGTGAGTAAAAATAAAAAAAATAGTTGCCAGTTTCGTCTTGTTAAGTTTTATGAAGTCAGATTTTTTTGTAAGGGTTACACCATGAAGTTTTATGAAGTCAGATTTTTTTGTAAGGGTTACACCATGAAGTTTTATGAAGTCAGATTTTTTTGTAAGGGTTACACCATGAAGTTTTATGAAGTCAGATTTTTTTGTAAGGGTTACACCATGAAGTTTTATGAAGTCAGATTTTTTTGTAAGGGTTACACCATGAAGTTTTATGAAGTCAGATTTTTTTTAAACCATGAAGTTTTATGAAGTCAGATTTTTTGAAGTTTTATGAAGTCAGATTTTTTGTAAGGGTTACACCATGAAGTTTTATGTAAGGGTTACCATGAAGTTTTATGAAGTCAGATTTTTTTGTAAGGGTTACACCATGAAGTTTTATGAAGTCAGATTTTTTTGTAAGGGTTACACCATGAAGTTTTATGAAGTCAGATTTTTTTGTAAGCCAGTTACACCAATCATGAAATAAAGTTGTTGCAAACATAAAAAATGAAGATTTTTTTTTTTTTTTTTTTTTTTTTTAATAAATAAATTTGTTTTTTATCTAGGGTATGCACCTAAATTAGATATTAAGAATAATTAAAATAGTTCTTAATTTCACGATTAAGATGTGTATATTTCCATATATGCAAGTCTCTGTTTTCTACAAATGACTAAAAGAGAAAACAATACAAGGCAGTAAAAAACAGGTGCAACAACCTTTGAGAAAAAAGAGACCTACTTTCACTTGCCTCACAAGCGACTCTGGGAGATACAGTAATTTTTGAAAAAGTCCATTTTAACTTAACACAGTTTATGTTTGGGAAATTTCTTAGAATTCTTTTGATTTTTGGCTATCCAATTGCATGAGAATTTTCACTTGAACTTCAAACGTTTTTAGTCTCTCTGCAGCTGGTCATAACTGGTACCTTCTTTGATGTTGACCTGCTTTGTTCCTTGCTGTCAAAAAGTCTTCTCCCTCTACTAACCTCAGATTTCTCTATTCAGAAAATTAAGCTCATATAGGCCCCACTATTTGGGATGTTACTAGCTTGAGACCACATCTCTTATTCTCAATATATACGAAAAAATAATTTTCCATAAACTGGAAATGGATCTTTCACAAATTTGGCAGGTTTCAACTGCTGAGCCATAAAAGATATACAATTGTAATAAATTTTTGCACAAACCCTCTGGCCTTCATAAAAATAGACTTCTCTTAAAGGATCATGTCTTTAAAAAAACTTAGATGATTAAACATTTATACAAGGCTAACATTTTTAAAATAGTAAAAAAATAAAATTTTTATATATAATTGTTATTAAAACAAGAAAAAAAATTTTACTAGCTGGACTACCTACCCATTGTATAAGTTGCTCCAGCTTCATAGGGTTTCATACCTCATACTTCAGCCCTTAATCTAACTTGATGAGTTTCTGGGACAATCCTTGCAAAGAATGCTAAAATCCTAAATAAGAATTAAGTGAAAGTGACAAAATCTACAGAAAAGTCATCTAGAGACAAAAAAACTATGTTATCGTTTGGTCACTTTATTGAAATTGTTAAATAAGATTTTTGAAAAGTCCAATTTGTAAAATTTGACTTTCTGAAATGACAAACTGTCCCCCACTCTGTCACCATGTAATAGGAAAACGAAAGGATAAAACAAAAAAGACAAATTTTTTTTTTTTTTACCCCAACTCCTCGCTACCACCACGATTTTTTTTTAATTTTATTTTAAATCATGCCAACTTTGTGAAACTTGGCTCCTAAATATTGTAAACTGTAGGAGACAGTACGTAAGGGGATGTATTAAAATATAACCGATTTATCCTTTGATGTCTGTTGAAGAGTGATTTCTGAAAGGCAAACAGAAGTAATAAATTAAAATGGCAGTTGAAATCTGATTACTAGAAAAAGAAATTTCCATTCCAAAATTTGCAATTTTTTTTTTTTTTTTTTTCACGGAAATATATAATAAAAAAGGCTCAAACACTAATATTCCATGGTTATAATTTATTACATTGGAATTGTAATCACGATCAAATTCATCAAACCTACAAATTCAAAAAGAAATCGGAAAATATATCTCCGGGTATAAAAAAAAAAATAATTTTAGTGAGAGTGTATGTGTGGGAGTGGGAAACAAGTGTGAGAGAAAATGTATGAAAGGGGTAACAGAAGAAAGAAGAACAGAAAGGCCTAAAGGTGAAGGTGGGGATTCAAATTTAACAGAAGTTAAATAACGGTTTAAATGAGTGAGATACAGATAAATATGAATTATTTTTCCACGCATAATTCACTACTGATTCGCTGACCTAAATTAAAAAACAGACACCGGAAATGTGTATACATTTGTGGCAACACTATGCACAATAAAAAATGATATGATCTAAACTTAAAATCCAGAAGATTAGAGAGAGAAAAGAAAAAGATTTTGGGCAAACTAAAAACGAAGGGCATTTATAAGAGAACCGATGTGTAATCAAGAAAATTTGACAAAGCTAGTAATATCACCTACAGGTTACAAATTTAACATAAACATATACAAATTAATGAATATTTAATCTAGTAAGGACCTACTATTTATAACACATAAAAACACATACATAGATATACGTTACATACACACATATACACACACACACACACACACACACATATATATATATATATATATATATATATATATATATATATATATAAAATATAAAATTAAAAGGTAAGAAAACATTAACAATATTAAAAACCCACGGAGTGATTAACGTGTATATATCTCTTAGGTCTGCATATATACCTAGGTATATAACATTTTGTATATCAGTTATTTAGGAGAACTTTTTACCCACATACACATATACCTGGACATTGAGTTCTACCTGGATTCCATCCTCTTGGAAATATATATATATATATAGATTGTAATATCATGATTGAAAATTATGACTACAAGCACACACAGCACACAGAAATGCTAATCTACTCTAGCTTAAGTTGAGCCTATCACACTTTTTCTAGCATTGTTGAAAGATGCAAACAAAACTAGTTAAGGATTTCCTGGAGACTTTAAAAGTAACCATAACTTTGCCTTCTTTTAAATAAAATTTAATAAATACAATAAAAGATGGAACTTCTATTCTTAACACTTATAGTCTTTCATCTGAACATTTTTACTATATAATTTGTCTGTAAGGAAGATAACTAGTTATCATTTTTGCACTGGCAATGCCCGGTGGCAGTGTCTTTTATGTCAATGGCAATATATTTACAAAATATAGAAAAAGACTGATTCATGAAAAAGCAGATTACAATAATAATTGTGAAAAAATATTATTTCAAAACTCTATATAAATGCCTTCTTATTATAGTAACAGCTTAACAAAATATGCTATCATTTTTCATAGCATAAACAATCTTAAATTTTTATCATTAAGAAAGATGGAAAAGATATATCAGAGGTACTTTTTGGCTTCAATGAGAAAAAAGACAGATGATATAGGTGGCAGTAATGCCCGTTTAGTGTTTGCTTCAGTGAAATGAAAAAACTTGTCAGTTTTAAGTCTTTTCATTTGTATCCTATTACTTGTTTAAATAATGACCTGCATTCTTACTTATGATTGTTATTGCAATATTTGGTTAAAGTTGTTTAAGTTCAAATATTTAACAATGCAGTAGGGGAATTTCCACAAGTATTTCATTGTCATAGAGCTCAGAAGGAGCTTATTCAATCATTAACTTGAGAATTGTGATTTATCAGAAAATTCAAATATGAAAACCATGAAGTTTTCATGGGTATTACTACTTAGTGTGTTTTCTAGTGTGAAGTAATGTACATGATTTTTTTTTTTTTTTTTTTTTTTTTTTATACTTTTTAAAACTGGCATACAGAAAATTTTTAAAGAACTTAATTCATTGACTGCATTGTTTCAGTTTTCCCATTTTATAAATCTTATTTTTGTTTCTTATAGGTAATCGGTTCCTGTGGGACCATTCTCATCCAGATTATTTTAATAGAGATCTCAGAGATTGCATGATTAAAGAATTGAGCAATAAACTTGGCAAGGACCAAAATGGACAATCCTATTCAGGTAATTAAGAAATTGAAAATTTTTGTTATTGTTTAAAACTCTGGTTGACATTCATAATCCAATTTTAAACAAATAAATCTTTACTACCATATGTACTGGTGTATGAACTGGCTTCATGTACCACTGCATTATTTTGCATGAATTTTAGTCCCTCCAGGAAAAAAGTTTACCTGTGTATAGTGCAACTGCTCACTAAAAATGCATGATGCTTAACCTTTCCAAATAAAAATTTCTGTGTATAGTGCAACTTTTTTTTTTTCTTTTTTTTTTTTTTTTATAAAAAAAACTGATCATAAAAAAATCACCCTATAATCTAGTATATACAGTTTATCTGAAGATGTCTGTCAGTTTCACTTACTTTGAAGGTTAATGAATTATTTTTCTTTTGCTTAATTTGTTCATAAGAGTTTTACTTATTCTGATGAGCCAAAGCATTATGACCATCTACATGTAGCAAGAATGACAGCTACTGTCTTGTAACAACTGTGCATATCCATCATAAATAGGTAAACTAGCTTCAAGTACTTAATTTTGATGTGTTGAATGCCACAGTTATTAGAAAAAAAATAAAGTGACTTTGATAAAAGCTAATTTATCATAACCAGAAAACTAAGTCATAACATAGTGTAAATGACACAACTTGTAGGAGGCTTATTTCAATTTTGTGAGTAGCTATCACTAATATTGCCGTTGATTCTGCTGACGGTCGATGGGGGTGGACGGTCTTGACGTGCGATGCAGTTAATTCAATTGGAGCTGGCTCGACCCACCCCGGGTGAATGCCCTTACAAGACGAGAGAAGATATCACTAATAGTCTGAGGAAAGAAAAATCACCCACCACTAACACCAAGTATTAGACAGTCAAGACTTACTGGTGTCAGAAGTTTTTCTCGGTTTTCCCACCAAGTAAGAGTCAGCAGAAGGGCTACTTTGGCACAAATTGCAAATACCTTTAATCAAAAGGAAAGAAAGAAAGATTGCATCACAAAACACAATACATAAATTCTTGTGTATGAAGTTACATAGCTTCAGGCCATTTGGATTAACCATGCTAACCAATATCTATAATACAAGGAGCCAAACTGGACCATATATCAGTAGAAGATCAACTGGTCTGATGGATTTTACTTTTACCTGGATAAAATGGGCAACAGGGTTTGTGTATGTCTTTATTCTGGGGAAAGCAATGTCTCCAGGATGCCCTGTAATGAAACAACAAGCCAGTGAAATCAGTGTGATGATTTGAACAACACTGCACAAGTTGTACAACAATGATTCCAGGAATATGGAGAAAATTTCATTGTATTACACTGGTCACCAAAACTCTCCATATCTCAGTCACATAGAGTTGATTCTGCACAACCTTTACCACATAACTAGAAACTATCAGGGAACCGGTTCTTAACATCCTGGTATCAGATCCCAGAGGTTTTATAAATCATAAAATTTAGAAGTCTTATAAAGTCCATGCTTGAGATTAAGAGCTTTTTTTCCAAGCACAACACCTTATTAGGCAAGTGGTTATGATTTTTTTGATCCTCAGTTTAATTATAATTTATTTTTCATTCTTGGTCACAAAGTAGGACTAAAGTCAAGTTTCATAAATCAAATTGTATTTGGTCTATGTTGTAGTTACAAAATGGGGCACCATGATTGTTAATGTTTTATATATGACTGTCAAATGGCAACATTTTATTTCATAACATTGTGCATAAGACCAAAATCAGTTGGACAGTTATTAGAAACTCAATTCTTTCAAGATAAATACTGAAATACATTTACAAATAGCTAAAAACTATTTGTAGGCTCAGCTAAACTGTTGCTCTTTTAGGGTCAAATGTACCATCACCTAATAATTCCAGTATAAAACAGTTTACTGTCATACTTTTTAACCTTTTCATAATGTAAAAATAAAATTAGAATTAACCTATTTCTTATAACATATCCTAGTAAATTACATTAAATATATTCCAATGTGCGAATTTTAGATTTATACATAAAAAATATACTTCATTTGACTTTTTTTTTTTTTTTTTTTTTTTTTTTTTTGTTAACATAATTGTTTTAAAATATACTTTCTGTTATTTTTGACTTCAGAATTTTTTTTTTTTTTTTGTTATTATGTTAAATAGATAATTTTTAAACTACCATTGGTATAAAACTTCCACATTTTAAAAAACTACATCCACATATTAGGCATCAATCTGGAAAAACAAACAAAAGGTATGTTATATATTAGGTAATGTGTTCCACATATGGCAATCATTTTTAGGTAGGCAAAAGCATGGGGTTGCATCCACATTTGGTATGGCATCTTCCACATATTTATGGCCGATAAACTCATCCAAAAATCTATAATATTAGGTTGTCTTAAATATAGGTGTCCATGGGCATGGCAATAAACTACATCCACATATTAGGTATGGCGATAAACTACATCCACATATTAGGTATGGCGATAAACTACATCCACATATTAGGTATGGCGATAAACTACATCCACATATTAGGTATGGCGATAAACTACATCCAACATAAGGTAGACCGTTTTTTTTAGAAAAATTAAGATTAGGTATGGCTATACGGTTTTTGGAAAATGTACATATTAGTATTACCAGCCATACGTTTTTAAACTAATAATATTACCAGCTGTGTGTTTTTGAAAAATGATATTACCAGCTATGCGTTTTTGGAAAAGTAATATTACCAGCTATGCGTTTTTGGAAAAATAACATTCCCAACTGTACGTCTTTGGAAAAATAATATTACCAGCTCTACTTTTTTGAAAAATAATATTCCCAGCTATACGTTTAAAAAAAGAAAAATATTACCAGCTATATGTCTTTTAACAAAATCTTATTCAATGGAATTGTAACCAGGGTCAAAACACTGAAAGGATGATGTTTTTAAAAAAAAATAATGTTGTCAGCTATACGTTTTTTGGAAAAGAAGTAATGTTGCCAGCTATACCAAAATCATTTTCGGCATAAAGTGACCACTAAGATTGGAATGCCATTAAACAAAACAAACAAACTTAAATATAGTATTTGCATTGAAATTTTCATAATGAAGTTTTCAAATTTTTAAATTGTAGGATGAGAATGTATTTAATTTTTTCTTTTGAAAATCCACCATACATTTTTTTAACTTCAAAAAAGAATAAAAATAAAACTTTTCTCTTTCATTCTCTCATGTTAATTCTTTATATCCATGTTCATAATTTCCTTTTATTTCAAGGGTGTTTTTTTTCTTTATTTGTAAAAATATTTTTAGTTAATTTACAAAAAGGTTTTATCAAGTTCAGTTTATTTCCAATAAAATCCCATTTTCTGTTTATATCTCTGAGATGAGGTATTATGATTATTTGCATTATTTACATTATTCAGACTGTTATCCTCATCTTCATTGCCATATTCACAATGTTTTGGCTGTTGTACACTTCAACCTTCTTCAGGTGATTGAAATTTCGAACCAAACCCTCTATTTTGTCCACCAGGGTAGATTGTTCTAGTTCCACAAGCCATGACTCTTCCGGATGTCTTTATTTCCATTTAACTGAACTCTCCAAGTTTTGGTTCATTACTGCTGTGGCCTGTTATTGAACTCTTTGGGTCTAGACACTGGATTATGTCTTGATCCAATGGGCCATCTGTGAATGAATTTTTGGGACTTATAAACCTAATGTCTCAGCAACCATTTTTTACCAGAGCTCATATTGCAGTTTTTCTTGTTATTCATTGCTATTCTCTAGCACTCCTGAAGAAGGTCAGAGCATACAACAGCCAAAATATTGTGAATATGGCAATGAAAATGAGGATAACACTCCGAGTAATGCAAAATCTCATTTATTTTCTCGTGGTTTGTCATAAGCTCCCATGTTGGCCAGCATCCTTATTAATTTTTTTTTTTTTTTTGTTTTTTTGTTTAAATACTTGTGTTGCATTAAACTAATGAAAAATAAACACAAATTCTTTTATTTTGGAAAAACTTTTTTCAATTATGAAAATATTTACTAGTATAAAAACAAAATGAACATTTGACTTCCCAATTTCAACAAACCTACTGCTTTATATGTGAAACTAGGTTAAATAGTCAAGATTTGACAATAGCAAATTTAGTATTACCAGGCTTTGAACATTTATTAATTAAATAAATAACTTTTTTCTTTGTTACAAAAATTTTTATAGAAATCATAAAAAAAATTTTTTATTTGCAGAAACATTCATTAAGCAAAAATGGAAAAATCTACGAACTACTTATGCTAGAGAATTGAAAAAGATGGAACGTCACAAAATTCATTATCGTGAAGCTCCCTATGTATCTCGTTGGGCACACACAGAACGACTTTGTTTTCTCAAAGATTGTCTTAAAGCTCGGGGACAGTCAAGAAATATTGCACATTTGCAGAACAGTGCAGATGTATGTCAGGTAAATATTGGAATTTTTTTTTTTTTTTTCTTGCGTTATTTACTTTTTTTCATTTATTTTCTCTTGGCCTTTTACAAATTACTATGAAGTTATTTCTCTTCAATAATTAACTTAATATTTAAACATTTAAAATTAGAAAGAAAATCTATTTTTTTTTTTTTATGAAAATCATAAGAACACATCTGTCAAGAAATTAAATGTTTGGTTCAAAACTTGGTATTTCAAGTATTAGTGGTTAGCAACCTATCCCTATGAAAAGAATATATTCAAATAAATTGAACATTTATTACAAGTAATTATATTCTAAATAGAGCTATTTGTACTTCTAGAACTGCTTGCTTTCTTCAGTGGGGGCCATCAAGCTTGAAAAATATTTTAAATCTTTCACTTAAATATTTGTAAAGAATAAACAAATCATGCCTGCTTATCTGCATATGAGCTGGAAGAAACTGAATTTCTCAACTTTTCCATGTTAATGCATTTAAATGATTTTTTTTTTTTTTTTTTTTTTTTTTTTTTAAATAAAAAATATTAAGTACCATAAATTTAATTGAGCTGCTTGATGCTTAAAATTATTATTATTTAAAAAAAATTAAAATAGTCAAAGCACTTTCACCATAAAAAAACATAATCTTAAATTTTTTTTTTTTTTTCTAATTTCATTTTCGCTTGCTTCAAACCCCCCCCACCACCACCACCACCTTGTTTAATCATCCATATGTGGTTCCTCTTTTCCTTAAAACTTCATTGTTCACATGGCCTGTCCATGGGATTCTTAGCATTCATTATTGGAACCACATCTCTGTCTCTTCTTCATCTGTGAGAAAATTGTTCTTTATTCACTGCTATATAGGAGATTAGATATTACATAGCAGTTCAGCGCCCCGCTTTTTTTTTTCCACTAACAATATTTTCCTGTCTTCATACTTTGCTTATTTTCTGAAAAGACATATTTCACTACAAAGCAAGTATTGTCTGTCTGCTCTGCCATATTTTACAGATAGTGCTTGTTATTTGTTTTTTCTTGGTGTGTATGTATACATTCTACATTATTAAATCTTCTGTTGTTTAAATTAATTGTTTTTCTCTTGTAGGCTTATTCCCTTTCTGATGACTCGGATGGTGATAATGATTCTATTACTTGGTCATCTGAACCATATGTAGAAGAAACTGTGGCAGTTAATGAACCAGTCTCTTTAAGAAATAATAAAAAAATAGAAAGTGACAATGCAACTCGTTCTTCAGAGACTTACACGGATATGAACTATGGTAGCTCACCCCAGTATGCAATGGGTGGAATAAAAAAACGAAGATATTTGGAAGATCAAGATCCCAAAGAAGACTTATTTAAAGAAGCCTTGAAAATGTTAAATTTAAAAACCTGTCATGATCCTGAAGATTTATTTGGCATGCATGTGGCTGGAACTCTTCGGCGCATGCAACCACTGCAACGAGAAAAGGCCAAATTGGACATACAAAGCATCTTATTACAATATTGTTTCTCTGAAACGAATTAATAAATTCATTTATTTTATTCTTGAGTCTTTTTGCTATTCTGTTATTTTTATATTTTCTTAGTGTTTCTTTTACAGATAAGGATTATGGTATAGTCTTTTTCTTTTAATCTTTTTTTTTAACTTTAGTATTTTCAGCTTTGTCTTTATTCTTCAGCCTTTTATGTCATGAATGCCACATTCCATAAATTTTGATACATGTGATTTTAAAATTTAAATATGAAAGAAATCATTGATATTTAAATACAAGTTTGTAATTTTTCATATTGACAATTTTAATTTTGAAACCTTTTTTCTTCTTTTTTTTTTCTTCTTTTGTTTTTCTTTTTTTTCTTCTTTTTTTTCTTCTTTTGTTTTTCTTTTTTTTCGTTTTTTCTTTTTCTTTCTTCTTTCTTTTTTCTTCTTTTTTCTTCTTTTTTTCTTCTTTTTTCTTTCTTTTTTCTTTTTTCTTTCTTTTTTCTCTCTTCTCTTTTCTTTCTCTCTTCTCTTTTCTTTCTCTCTTCTCTTTTCTTTCTCTCTTCTCTTTTCTTTCTCTCTTCTCTTTTCTTTCTCTCTTCTCTTTTCTTTCTCTCTTCTCTTTTCTTTCTCTCTTCTCTTTTCTTTCTTCTCTTTTCTTTTCTTTTTTCTCTTTTCTTTTTTCTCTTTTCTTTTTCTCTTTTCTTTTTCTCTTTTCTTTTTCTCTTTTCTTTTTCTCTTTTCTTTTTCTCTTTTCTTTTTCTCTTTTCTTTTTCTCTTTTCTTTCTTTCTCTTTTCTTTCTTTCTCTTTTCTTTCTTTCTCTTTTCTTTCTTTCTC